ACCTGGCTAAACCAGTTCAACAAAAATGGGACATCAATACTGTGGGGCAATAACACATCATGAGTCATCAGACAAGATCCTTATAGAGTATCCTATGCTACACCAGTATGCAATAGTCGTCAGATACTTGTTTTTTTCCACAATTCTTACAACAAACACAGACTAAATAAATATGTCTAGAAGTAAACAGCTTACACAGATCTATGAGAATTACACAGAAGGAAGGTGTGCCTCAAATGAGCAAAGACATGCTCTTACCATCAATCTGTCTATGCAACAGGTTCCTGCAGACCAATTTCGTGAGAACTCAACGGCTCATCACGCATGCATGTGCACATTTAATACAGATATGTAAAGCATCTAGGTCCACTTTCTATTCACTCAGCAAACAAAAAATGGACACAAAGAGACGACCATGACACCACCATATCAACATATGGTCCCACAACCAGTTCTGCAGTAAGTTGTGGTATCTGAGCCCAAACAAAGCAACCCTGCTTAGACACCCTATCTATTACAGCTTTGCGTGTTACGCCTGTATTTGCATCAGCGGATCCTGAAATGGGAGTTAGTTGAGGTGAACCTGTCCTGAATGGCTCGAGGCCAAGCAGAACCTGCATTCTTCCTCCGCCCTGGACTGAGGCCAGCCTACACTTACTGCCTGCTTTTGCTCACCAGCTACTCAAAGTGCAGAAACTGAGGTCAAATTGACTTTCCTGTAGCAGTGTGCATGCGATTGTTTTGCGTAGCTAAGCAGGCTGACCTATCGAGATTGACATTTATTAGGGATGAATCCAAATTCTTAAATATTTAGACAAATGATGAAAGCTTTAAAAACTCTAGAATGAATTGGGGTTCCTGATATGCAAATTTGCTTCTCAAAAGCTATACATTCTTATATTTAGAAACCATGACATGTCTGAACTCTATCTGATCGCAGTGAAGAGCCTGTGCCTTAAGTTTTGATCAGTTTCTTGTCTGCTTAATCAAAAGAAGGAAACATAAAAAGACTACTGCATCCAGTTAAAGGCATAATGGCATAAAAAGCGTCAATAAACAACAAGCTCAAGTTCATTTCACCCTCTATTGGTATATCTTTAATGGAAATGTCATGTTTGGTATCAGCTAAAGGCCTCTACCCACCAAACGTGATTTGCATGATTTATTTAAACAACAAGTAATTAAAGCACATGAATAAATGATTATATCTTGCGCATCAAACAGTTTTTTTAACAGTCCATTCATCCTCTTTAATTTTTGCAAACTTTTGACCAACAATTTGTTTTTTTCAAAATTGGAAAGTATCCCAATGACAAAATTTGCCCTCTTTGTGATAAGTAAACAATATCTCTGTCATCTGAAGACATTCTACCCAGCACAAATAACATTCCAAACAAATCACTTCACATCCGGTGTGCACTGTCCTTAACTCTTCAAAACTTGTATTTTTCCAGCTAAAAAGGTACAAGATAAAATACAGTGTGACTAGGCTAGCCGAAATAAAAACAGAATTTGTCTTTTTACTTTAAACACTTTAGATTGACATCTTTGTTTAAATTTCAAGCAACGTCATTTACTATGCAATATGCCATGTTTCCCCTATAATTTTTTTAACGTGTTGGACTGTACATACTACTGTTTCCAGCATTAATTATTTCAGTGAATTAATTATTAAATAATAATAATTAACATTATTATTACCTTGTTTTTAAGCACCTTATTTGATCTCATTTTAATACTAGCTGTTGTCTCTTACGGTTCTCCCTCATTGTCTTCTTTTAGTTTAAACAAAGGTCTGAATCATGTCTAACATAATTTCTGGCCATTACTGTTAGTTTGGGGAGTTCAACTACCAAAAGGTACTTCAAGATCTTTTTTCCCTAGGCAGGGCTCTTGTATTTGTATGGCTTCACGCTGCCTTATACAGTGCCCCCTCCCCACCACTACCTTGGTTTCTTTATTCATAACCTCAGGCATTTGAACAAAACAGCCTTCACAAAGCACACACAGTATCTTTATTGCATGCACAATTGCAATAAATCAATCTAAGCATGGTATCATTACCATAAACCTGTAAGGGGTAAGCTACACTACAATGAGTACAAAAAAAGATGGACTTTCAGTGCCTTGCACCTACACAAGCACAAGCTTATCAGAAAAAACAACCCATGTAAAAGGTTCGGTTGGGAAAAAAACCCTTTTTGGTTAATGTTTAACTTGACAGCAATCGGCCACAGCCCTCTGGCCAGCCAGTTTATAGCCACACCAATGCAGCTGCCAGATTAGTCAATTGCTAGCAAGTCTCGGTATTGTCCAGCCTTGTGTCTGACAAGAAATGTAAGCAAAACAATCTGAGATCATGCAGGCCTGGCATGTTTTCTGTAAGAAAAGGAACCGCCATGACAGAACATGTCCAGGACAAAACCCCATCTTACCTCTGAGGTCTCCACCTGATTTTACATACCTCTCTCTTTTATGAATTGTACTGCATATGAGTCTTGCATAATATCCCAGCTTGGTACAGATAAGGCTGATTGTGAAATTCAGCAGCAGTAAGGCATGTTGAGTCATGAGAGCTCATTTTCATCCTGCACATTACCACAACATAGGCATTCCCCCTAGGGAGCCATTATTAGAGAGGCTGTCATTTCTACAGCTGAGGCAGCAATGAAGGTAGCTTTATCACAGGACTTCACGAAGAAATGCAAAAACTCTCTTGCTCTTCTCAAGCATCTGTTGTTTGCCATGAAAACTGGCAGAGAGTGGGCTTTTCCTAACAAGCTAGCAGCCTAACTTGCAGCTGTTAATGATTTCAGAATCAGTTTCCTGTTATAACATAGGTGGAAACTGGGACAGTGGAGATTAACTTTGACTCTCATGAAAGAAGTCCTACATGTGATCTCAAATAGAAGTGCGTGTTAATTGAGAATGCTCCAAGTTACAACTTCCTGTTCCTAAAATCCTAATACCCTCCCCTCCCCAAACAAAAAGTCCTCACAAGCACATCCTCCACAGAAAACAGCTATTTTCACAGTCTGGGTGAATTCTAGTGGCCGATTGTTTGTGGCAGTACAAAGATGGCTCTGTCTGGAACTACAACTTTGTGTGTGAGAGACAATTTGATAAGTATTAAGAAGCAGAAGTGTGGAGAGGAAGCCTTCTCATTCTCTGTGTAACACTTCCCTCAGTGCTCAGCTCTTTATATAAAAGAAAGCCTGTCTATTCTGTTACGGGCTGCTCCAACATGTTCACCAGTCTCCATGAGAATGAGGGGTCAATCCCAGGACAGCTCTGAAAGACCACCACCTCTCTGAAACATCTCTGCCTTTTGCTCTCAGAGCTTAGTTGGAGCTCTACAATTCAAAGAAGATATTGGAATTAGACATAGCTGAGCCCTGCCCAATGAAACAGACCCTGAGAATGCAAGGAAGGGGGGCGTTTACACATAGAGGGGAACACTTCAGCTGCTCCACATTCAACAGTGTTTAATGAGTATGTGTACAAGAAGGTGTGACTAGAATTTCAACAGTTTTTGGCTGCACCTGCTCAGTGAACCAGTTGTTAAAGATGGCTTAAAGGATTGTGCAGTTTCTACGCACCACACTACACTACCCAAAATACTTCACAAAAGTATGAGAAGAACCATTCTCACCTTCTCACTATTGGTGTTAACTATTTGATTCGACTGCGTGTGTGCAGAAGGCAGTTTGGGTGGGGCTGTTTTATGTCCATATCTTGGTCTTATGGGACATTTGCGGCTGCTTGCCTGAAGTACACCATGTGCAGAGTAACACAATAGGACAAACAATAGGGCTGCTGCTCTGTGTATTATCACCACACAGATGACTGACTAGATGTATGCAATTGTACAGGCTTTAACTGTCAAAAACTAGAAAAATAAACTTATAATATGGACAAAATATCTTTGGGAGGGGTTGGAACCAGAGGGAAATAACTGACATCTGACAAATTTTACAGGATGGCTAAAACAAATTTCAGCTAGGCAGGGCAATGTAACAATATTTATCGTTACAGTGACAAATTATGTTACAATGTACTTTTCTGAGGAAACCAGTACTTGTAGCACACTGACCAACTGCATGTTTTTCACAAAGACAGCATGTTTAACTGGACTGAGTGCAGTTAAGTATGTGTTCTCATAATTCTTAATTTGACTGACTTTGATTTTTTAATGTGGCACCATTGATTCTTTTTTTTGTCTCTTCCAACTTATCAGGTGTCAGAAAAAAGCAAATACTGTGACATATGTACTGTGAAAAGCGTTGGGATGCTGCATTCTGCCATATTGCCCAGCCCTAATTTCAACCATACTTTGGCCTATCTGTGTTTATTAACATTCACCCTTGAGAGGTAGCATACTTATACATATCTTTAATTTGATACGTAGAACTTTTTTCTCCATAATGTCACATCTTTCCTTTTCCAAGCCTTCTGTATTTACATTGGACTTTTAATAGGTCTTGTATTGGCCTATATCAAAACCACAGAGATGAACCCTTACTGTGACAGGGATAAAGCCTGGCCTGCATTATTTTGATAAAACTTATTCATATGTTCTGGATCACATGAATGCATTAGCCTTAATAATGTGTAAAGTCTGAACTCTGGTCAGGATCTTCACATCAATGGCTATTAACAATAGCTAACTTCTCAGTGGGTTCATTTTATACCCTGAAGCACTAAAATAACAGTATCGTGAAAGAAAACATCACGATTTCGATTAACGATATATTCATACAGCGATATATTCATACAGCCTGCACCGTTACGCCGCAGTAAAGACGCTCACATGGCTCACATGGTCAGGATCTCGCAGCATCTACAGCTGTAGCCTGCTTTCTACTGGCACTTCAGCAGCCTAATCTGCACTTCGTCACATTACACGTTAATGGTGAGATTTGAAGGCGTGCCAGGTGTATCGAGGACAGGTCAGGTCAGAGATGACCTCTGACTCTCGCCTCGCTCACAAGAGTACTTACTGTTTGAACATTTTCTCCATGTCTTTGATCTGTTTTCTGGAGAACTCCTTGAACTCGGTGTAGGGGTTGAACACCTTCATGCTGGGCTGCTGGTGCTCTCCCACCCCTTCGTTCAGCTCGCCGCGACGCATCAGCTTCGCCTCCAGTTCCGAGTCGGCGCTCGCTGTGGACGGCTTGTCATGAGCCCCGTTTTCGTGAGTTTCGTCCACGGCTACAGGATCCTGAGCACCGTCTTCGATCTGCAGCCGGCGGTTCAGCTTCATTGACAGCTCGTCTGTTGCCATTTTGTGGGTCTGTTTATCTCAAAAACCACGCCGTCCACTTCTAGGCAAAGAGCACGAGTTAAAAACGCAGAAACCTGCAATACCCGCAGCCCGTGTGCAGTTAATTCGTTAGTAAGTAAAATCCAGGCTCATATAAGCAGATATTTTAGGTTAAAATGGGGAAATCCTCAGTTTAGTAACACGGTTCGTGTTTGAGTCCCTGAACGGTCCAAATAGTCAGCGCGCGGGTCTGCGGGGAGCTCGCGCGAAGAACAGCGATGAAATAACTACGCAGAGCTCTCTGATGCTAGGCCACGCCTCTTAAAGGGACAGGCACACGAAAACCTGAAAGATTTGATTCACCACAAAACTGCAGTTCTAGTCATGATGAGAATACAGAGATGCACATGTAGATTCATCACAAGACTAAAGGGACACATAAATATTCACTTAGTAAAGAGATGCGCATGTAGGTATTAATCAAAAGACTAAAGCGATGCACATAGTTAGATTTACACTAAAGCTAAATGATGTGCTTACTATGTTGTGCATTGTATTATTCCAACTAAAGGGTGGTCATTGTCATGACTTTGGGGAATATTTGCCATGGTAAATCAGTAAAGGTACTCTTACTGCTACAGTATATCACTCTAGTATTATCTTGCTCTACATCAGTGGAACCCAATCATGGTCCTGCAGAGCTCAGATCCAACACCCCTGCCACTGATGTTCAGATGGTGCTGAGGGCCTACGTTACCCACATCAGGTGTGCTAGCTAGGTGTACTGTAGGTATGCAAAAGTTATTCAAAGTTCTAAGTGCTCTGCGATTTGCACATGCAGATTAAAATACTACTAAGTGCAAATCACACACACAGTCACACCCCACAAACCATAACTGTATCACTGTGCACGTGAAGGCCTAAATCTTTATGTCCCCTTACTAGTAATTTTAAAAATAAACCTAATGCTAAGCTGACCTTGACCCAAAGCATGACCTTAAAGGTTAATTTATATGCCTCTTTGCAGATGCAGAAGCATTAATCACATTTTAAATGCACATGTTAGTCTTTCCCCAACTCCCAACACACCTGATGCAACTTAGAAGGTTCAATCAAGCTTCACTCTTGCTTGAAATCTGAAAAACCCACAAGTGTTTCTGTCCATCCTTCCAATGTGAGCAGAAAACTAAACACTATGGGTCTAAAAGGATGTGAAGCTGTCAAGAAGCTGTTATTGAGAAAAAGAAATAGACAAAAAAGAAGAACATTTGCAAATCAAATAAAGAAGCTGCTGTTGTTCATAGAACAATGGACTGACCACATCAACCAAGCTCAACATTATTGAATGTGTTTGGGATTGCGTGGATCATCAGAAGCAGAAAATGCAACCAACTTTTAAAACTGAACTTGTGTGGTGTGGAAAAATATCCTTGCAGATTTCTTTGAAGAACAGAAAGCAAGTCTTCCAAAATAATGGAAGTTGTAATAAAGGCAAAGAGTGGACACACTAAATACTGAACAAAATTGATCTGGTAAATATGAGTTCTGTGTTTTTAATAAGGCTGAAAAATGAATAACTTGTGCTTAATGATCACTTGACTGTACACTAAGTAATTGAAATGGTAGTTGCTGACTTTTGCAAAGTACTGTAAATATTAAGTTTTATGTTTTATGCAAGCGGTTGCAGATGTCTAAGTATCAGTATAACTATCCTTAACCAATCATGAACAAACCAAATCAGTAAAATGTTCTCACTAATGAGCATCCTGTGCTGTCATTGTGAAGATATCTGTTTTAACCAGTATAGAAAGACAAGTACATGCTTATACATACATTACATGCTAGCATGCATATTGTTTCATATTGAATGAATGCTACAGAAATCACTTGATGAAATATTAAAATCATATTTTGGATCATTTGATGTTCAGGACTTTAAATGTGGAGTGTTATTCAAGCAGGTGTATGGTATGATTTTGTTCCTGTACTTGTAGTGTTTGTGTGTACATGCACTCACACACTTGAAGGATTAAAAGACTGAATGAGTCAGCTGAGCAGCAGAGTCTGATTCGTGACTCATAGGAAGCTGAGTAGGACTCTCTCCACGTCTCTCACATACACACAGCCCTCTATGAGAGAGGAGGGGCTGCACACACGCTGAAAGCCGTGACTACCTGCATTCTCTCCATATAAGGAGAAAGACAGAATGAAGCGTAGGATTCCTCCGCACTGAGGAGGGGGCGTTCACACCCACCACATCATCACACCTCTCCCTCCAATCAGGAGCATCGCATGACCAGCAATAATGATTCTCACTGAATGACATTCATGTTCATCTTTACTCAGATGAATTCTAAACCTCTCTCCATACAGTGGTTGTGTACATAGGCTTGAAATAGAGCTTTAATTAGAGCCAAACAATAAAATAGATTTAACTGAAGAAATAAACATACATAGGCTTTGAAAGACTCCAAACTGTTTCACTTAAAAAAAGGTGTGTAGCCATAGAATGCAATTTCTGCCTGTTTTGGAGGTCCCTCAGTTCAGTCTTGAATTTTGATATTTTTAATTAAATTGAATGTTTTAAAAAATTACATTTGAATTACATTTTGAAGTAAACAATTATGCTTCATTACATTAATACATATATCAGTTGAGTCATTTCCGTTCCACCTGCAGAAAGGGGTTAAAATATAGTAATAAGATAAAAATATAGGTGCACTTTGTAGTTCTACAATTACAGACTGCAGTGCATCTGTTTCTCTGTACACTTTGTTAGCTCCCTTTCACCCTGTACTTCAGTGGTCAGGACCACCACAGAGCAGGTATTATTAGGCTGGTGGATCATTCTCAGCACTGCAGTAACACTTATGTGGTGGTGGCATGTTAGTGAGTGTTGCGCTGGTACGAGTTCTTAAACACTTCAGTGTCACTGCTACCGGACTGAGAATGGTCCACCAACCAAAAATATCTGACCAACAGAATCCTGAGGGCAGCATCCTGCGACCACTGATGAAGGACTAGAAGATGACAAACACAAACTGTGCGGCAGCAGATAAGCTACTATCTCTGACTTTACAAGGTGGACCAACAATGTAGGTGTGTCTAATATAGTGGTCAGTTAGTGGACAATGTTTAAAAACTCCAGCAGCACTGCTGTTTCTGACCTACTCATACTAGCCCAACACATTAACACTAAAGCCACCACCACATCAGCATCACTGCAGTGCTGAGAATGCAAATAGTACCTCCTCTGTGGTGGTCCTGTGGGGGTCCTGACCTCCACCACCTGAAGAATAGGGTGAAAGGGGGCTAACAAAGTATGCAGAGAAACAGACGGACTAAAGTCTGTAGTTGTAGAACTACAAAGAGCACCTACATAGTAAGTGGAGCTGATAAAATGGACAATGAGTGTTGTAGCTGATCAGTATATATATGTATATGTATGTATATATATATATATATGTATATATGTGTGTGTGTGTGTGTATGTATATGTAAATGTATAGTAAAGAATCCTAGCAAATACAAAGATATAGGAAGATACAAAGATGTAGGAAAAAAATTGCAATGACAGCTGGAAAGAAAAGCCAAGATGATAAAAATGCTGCACTCAACGGATGACACTATAGCAAGAACAATATGGTGTATACAATACTATGAGGTGCTAATAATCTCGTGGAATAAATGAATGTGTTGTGTGCAACTTTTTTTTTTAATTACTTTGTGTAACTGTTAAGCTCCACTTAACAATGCTACTTGTATTTCATGTTCAGTCTGCCATATATTTGCTTTATTTGTTGGAAGATGTACTAAAAGAAAAACAATCTGCTCCATGCTACTAAAACACACTGACCCGGTCACAGACTCGGAGCAAATCTAAGACATGAAGTCTCCATCTGCTTCTCTTCTACTACAGGACGAATCTGGGTCAGCAAGGGAGAAAAAACGTTGCTGACAGTAACAAACACCCACATTATGTCATGGGAAAGATAACAGCGGAAAAGTCCAAAAAACCATGCACATTTACTCTGTGTAAACAAGGCAAGGATATATGCCCCAAGAATGTCATGCCATCCAGCATGTTCACTAATGCTTTAATGACAGCGTCTATCACAGAATGAAATCCAGTGACAATCACGTTGCTTCAGAATTGAATAATTGTGGTAATTACATGCAGATCTTGTTTTTTAAAAAAGTCATGGTAAACAGTTTACTGCTGCAGTCTACCTGCAAAGCATGCGCCAGGACAGCGAGTGTTTACATGGTTACAAAAGTAATCCTGGGGATAACTTCATATGTACTAAAATTGTTTTACAACTTCTAGTGCTATTAAAAATCCAATATAAAAGCATGTGAACATAATACATGTGGTGAAACTATTCTGATGTTTTACACATTTGCACACACTGCAATACTAAAAAAATAATCATTTAATTGGTTAATAAATTTGGTAATTGAAATAATGATGGGAAAAATTAATATAATTCTATTCCTGCTCACCAGCACAGCGCACAACACGTAATGGAGCACATTTATCTAAGATTCACACTGTTCACTGACAGGGCTGCACGCAGGCCTTCGTACACGTTATCAAACAGAACCACTGATTTACTCACAACCACCAACACCTCCCCCAACAGAGAGAGAGAGAGAGAGAGGGAGAGGGAGTAGAGTAAGTGAGAAAGAAAGAGGAAAAAGTGTAAAGAGAGAGGGGAAAGAGATAGGAAGGGAGAAAGGGAGAAATCAAAAAGTAGAACAGATGGGAAGTGAAGGAGAGAGAGAGAGAAAGACAGAGCGAGAGAAGAGAGGGAGAGAGAAACGCAGAGAGAAATAGTTTGAGAGAGAGAGACAGGAAAAAGATTGGAAGAGAAAGAAAGATATGACGAGAGAGACATGGGAAGAAAGAAACAGAGGGAAGGAGGAAGAGAGAGAAACAAAAAATGAGAGAAAGAGAAAAAAATGTGTACAGAAAGAGAGAGTGGGGAAGACAGGAAGAGAGAAAGACAGAGAAACAGAAAGAGTGAGTGAGGGAGGAAGAAAGAAGAAAAAAGACTGTGGGAGGGATAAATAGAAAGGAGAAAAGAAAGTGAGTGAGTAAGTGAGCGAGAGGAGAGAGAGAGAGAGAGAGCGCAAAGTAAATATGCTGGTCAGGTCACACCATAGAGACGGGGGGATGAGAGGAAGAGGGCAGTGAGAGGAAGAGAGGGGGGAGAGGGAGTCGAGCACTGATTCTATTTTTAAACTGCTTTGATTGACGACAGAAACACAGCTTCTTCTCTGTTTTTGGCCTGGAGATAATAAGATCATCTTAGAAGCTAAAAGTGTTATGTGTACAACCTCTCATTTAACTCTGAGATCTGAGTGAGTCACTCGGATGCATAGTTTAAGAGTGGCAAACAACAGACAAGATCAAATGTAGATGACAGAAAAATATTTTTTTCTGTAATAGGGTAAAATTTGATAATAAACAGTCAGAGTACACTTTTTTGTGGATATACACTCTGCCAAGTGTTGCCTACATTATACGGAGGTTCTTCACACTTGCAAGTCTCATTTCCAAAATGTTAACCATTCACATGCAAGGTTCTTTGGTGAACCTTAAGTGGTTCTTCTATGGAATTCCTCCAAAAAAAAACTATTTTAAGAGTGTACTGAACCATGAGGAACACTGAAATCCTGCTGAAATCCACGCTGGCTGGTGTCATGCTTGGCAAGGCCACTGTCAGATTCCACAGCAGTGAGTCATTTTGATGGCATGGTCATTTGTGATGATGCACCAGAAATTCAGGATATTCATCACAGCTGTGTGAGTGTATGTGTGTCAGGGTGTGAAGGCATTCTCAAGTTGTCATTATTCTTGTTGTGTTTAAACTCTGCAAGTATTGTTGTGATTATAAGTATTTTTAAAGTTGTCGTTGCAAACAAAACTTGTATCTTTCTCTGGTATTTTGGTGGATATAGCCAAGCAAGCTTTCTCATGGTTTAGGACTTCAGGAGCTGGACTGAAGGCCTAGCTTGTCAGATTAACCTTTGACATAATCAGGAACTGACAGTGGAATCAACCTTTCGATTTCACATTTTGATTTACAATTGGCGGAACTAATTTCAGGAGAAAAATGTCAGTCTAGGCTCTCTGGAAGTCTTTTTGTGACTGAATATGAGTGGCAGCCTCATCAATTAACTTTAATCACTTATTAGAAATGGAAAAGAGTGGCAGTGTTTTTTACTCTAACATCACTGTGAAGGTAAAGGTAAATATGTTATATATGTATGCCAAATTATATACAAACACGTGTATCGTTGTTAGCTTTGTGTTGACATACTACTAGAATCTCATAAGGTCACTAGCAGAATTTAGCATTAACATAGAAGTGTTATTTCCTCTGTTTTTGACAAAGTTTTCACATCTATGGTCCAAACTGAAAACCTAGCTCTAAAAGCCACAGTTCACAACAGTCATGGAGTTTAACTTACATTTCTGTGTCTTGCAAGTGACTTTGTTTTATTCAATGTGTGTGTGAAGTGATGTAAAAGTTTTTTAAAACCAAAAAAACAACTCATTTGTATTCTAAAAGTTAAAATTAACTACAGTGTAGCACTTACTAAGGCCTTTAATTTGTAAAATGTAATTAAGGGACCCATAGACACTTTGCTGTGTCTGGTTGTGTGTGTGTGACGGAGCAGCTCTCACGGAGATAACAGTATGAGCTTTATCACAGCTAGTGGGTGTTAGGCGATTTTAACTCTGAACATTGGCTGCAAGCCCTTTTACCAATAGCCCCTCCAGTCTGAGTGAAAGTGTGGAGCTTTATTTAAACAGAGCCATTTAAACATATACATATATGTGCTGTAATAAGTGCTAACTGAGTACAGACAAGCACAGAAACACTTTACAGTTCTTGTCATTCCACAAAGAAGTAAACAATATATTTGTAGTGTGTAGATCTGCAGTGGAAAGTACAATTAGATCTGATTATAGAGATGATTAAAGAAAGTTTAGGGAAAAATCACATTTACACAAAAATATGGACATAATTTGGGCTTTAAGATGGCTACTACTACTGTTTTTAGCTGTGCAACATGCAAAACCTAACCTTTTTTTACAGATAACAAGTTGTTATACAGTGACTGAAACCACATAGACAAGTCTATATGATATGTGCTCATAACATCATTTAAAGAAAGTTTATGATTATCTAGGCATAATATAAGGGATGTTATAAGCACTACTTGTTAGCTACATTAATGTCATAGCTATACCACTAAAGAAGAAACCTTCAGCCAGCAGACAAGTCTTGGCTGACTGACTACATTTGGGGTAAAGGAGAAACTGTGTAAAGTGATAATGTAAATGACATAATGATGTCACTTTCAAAGAATCATTCAGTGAAAAATCAAATTTACACGGTTTTCCACTTTCCCCAGATGTAGTCGACAAACCAAGACATGTTTGATGTCCACATTTTACTTCTTTTAAACTGGAGCCACAATTCTAATGTTACTAAGAAACACTGGAAGTCAACACTCACCCAGATTAAATAAATACATTAAATACATAAACCAAAACTTCTCTCAATCCGCTCAAATCACATTTAGATATTCAAGGTCGCGCAGACCTGTCGATGTGATTTAGGCCACAATGTGACTCACTGTGAACTATAAAAATGAAAACAACTTCACCCTTCACCCTTCATCTGTACCATGTAACTAAATATGTTTATTTAAAAACAGAAAACAGCAAAAATCATGAATGTAATCTAGTATCCAAATGTTTGTGTAATGTGTGTGCACGTGAAGGGGAGCTGTAATTTGACACAGCACCTGCTGTCTAAAGTAGCTGCCCTTAGAGTTCAACTACACAGTGAAGTTTTGTTCATTTTTATAGCTCACAGTAAGTCATACTGTGCTCTAAACCACTCAATCTTAATGAAGATCGGGATGTGGTCTGAGCATGTTCAGAGAAGTGTTTTTTTTATATATTCATGAAAAACATTTGGGTGACCAACGACTTTTTCTGTTCATTAGCCATGTTAGCTGTCACTTTAAGATAAACCAACTGGCCTCCAGGTGGGTGTAGCTACAATTACTATAACAGTAAGGCACCACAGCAGTTTGCAAGACACTCACTCCAAGGCATTTTTCTGTCTATGTCAGTGGGCCTCAGTGAGCTCAATGCTTTGTTGTTGTTGTGGCACGCTGGTCAACTGAGCAGCCATTTTACACACTGCCTGCTCTTTGTGCCCCGGCTCACTCTTCAGTACGTCCACCTCGGCCTCTCTTCTCCTTCTTCTGTCCTGCTGCTGCCTTCTTTTTAGCACTGATACCTGCATCCACGTCCATGCACAAACGCACACGTGCATAAACAGACGCACATCCACCCACACACATACAAAACTTTTAATATCAGGCTACAGCGCTGAGCACAAACAGGTAAAAGAAACACTAAGGGAAGAGAAAGAAAGGGGCAGTGGGTTTACAAGCTTGAGAGAATGGAACCATAAAAACCACATTAAGGAAAAGCAAATTAACGGGTGCACGGCGGTCGTAAAATCTATTAAATGCGCAGCAGAAGGTGGCACGCAATAATAACTGCTGACAGCACAGGCAAAGGCAAATAGCCTACAGAATAAATCAGTTTCTCCACAGGTATTACTATCTTTGTGAGGACTTTCACTGACTTTCTGTAACACTGTAGCTGGGCCTGTCACAATTATTGCATAATCTCCGAATTGCAATTATTTGAGATGATCGCAAGTATGTACGCTGACTGGAAGCAATAGGATTTCAAAATCATATTATGCTGCAACAAGCAAAATTTGAATGGATGTGATGGGTTGAGGCAAATAAATGTAAATAATAAAAGAAAGCAACACATGCTTTCTTTGAGACATTGTGATCTAACATGTTTGCAAAGCACATGGTATATTAGCACGTATGCTTGCATTTTTTTTGCTTACATTTTCACTCTCATGAAATATGTAGCTTTAATTGACTACACACATGATTGCATAGTGGCATATATGGCAATAATAATTATTAATATAATATAAAAAAAAATATATTTATGTGACAATTAATCATCAACTAACATTTCGTGATCGTGATGGCCCTAACTGTTATGCCTAACCCTATCCATATTCTCAGTAATGAGAAGACAATCTTTTATTTTTGATGAAAAAAAAACTGAGGGTTAGCCGCACGTGTACCCTCATATGTTCCTATCATCATGAGGACAGACACATGGAACACAGACTGTATTCCCACTAACAGGCACAGCTCAGCAGGAGTGCACAATACTGTATGTGAATTATTTATTAAGGCAGTGAGATTATCAATCTTTGCCTTTGTTACTGAGGTGACAACATACGTCTTTGATGATGGCTTATTTAGAATAAACTCAGTGCCTCAATGTGTTTTGTTTTGTCGTGGACAGACTGTATATTGTTACTGTTGGGACAAAACTTCCATTTTTTACATTGTTTTAATATTTTTACAGAATTTGAAAATGCCACACATCCTTTACATCTCGTTGCATTAACTTCACCAGTTTCAAGAACGATTTTCATGCTTCTGTAAAGCATGATTCTAATTCTTTGTCCTAACAGCAACGATAAATTTAGATACATATAGATCTGTGTTTTTATGTCTACTAGAAGATGTGGCAGACAAAACATAGGGGGCAAGAAATGAAAAAGAATCTTGGTCAGTGATGAAATAAATTGCAATTCGCTAAATTGTGTTCACAATACAGAGCAAAGGCAATAAAGCCCAAATTGAGGACAGAAAAAGAATCAGCTAAAATTGTGCTCAGATAACAACTGAGTGGTGAAATGACACAAAGCTGTGTTTGCTAAGGGGTCAGGAACAGTTGCTGGGTGGAACTTGAAAATGTCTGTCAGTACAGAGAAGAAGAAATGTGTGTGTGTGAGAGAGACAGAGACTCTCAAGGAACAGCTGCCTAAAAGCGTGACTGGGCCAAAGAGAGATGAGATCATATTCAGGTCACAGCTGAACTAAGGTCAGCTGGTCAGCTGTGTATTTGCTCACTGGTGGTTACGGGAATGATGCAGGGGGCACACAGCTGGATCCAGATCTACTGAAATGAACTCACCTTGTCATAGTTGTCATTCGGTATACAGTTGTGATGGCCAATTCTTCCACTCTTCCCGTCTATTCCCTGAAAGGAGAGCATTTATTACTAAACGCAAGAAAAGAGAAGAGAGAGACAGAAAGAGGAAAAGCAACAAAGACAAACCAAAGAATGAATACTCTTGGCTTTATAGCCCAGCCAAAATGACACACTTCTTTCTGTCATTGCTCTATGTAGGGCTTTGTGTTATAGAAAATCTACATGAGCATTCTCCTGTACACATCTCTATGAAGTCCAAACATCTGTGAAATGATTGACTAAACCGGACTGGCCAGAGTGGACATTCACTATGACTATAGCAAACTATAGCAAATTTGCAAATAGCTAAAATTGCAAAAGTATATTTATGTATATGTATATAAGCAACATACATAAGTATCATAGAAAAATAAAATTCTATTGCTATTAATAAACAGCTAATGGCAGCTTTTTTAATTGTCATTTTCTGACCATTTTTTATATTTTCACCTGTATTTGCTTGTGTAAAAAAACAGCACTGTCATGTAAAAAGACATCTTTTTTACAGTGTAGTATTATTTTAAATAAATAAATGGCTACTATATCAAATAATTATTAGCTGTTGTTGTGGCAGCAAATTCAATAATGTTTTAATTATAATAAATCACACTGAAACGCATTTAGGTAACTTAGCATACATAACCCACTATAAAATACTATACATGACACAAACATAAAAGCAATGAGAATTCCTGTTAGAGAAAATGAGGCTTGTATGTATATCATTTAACTCTTTCCTCATGGGTCTGTGTGTTAGGCTTAAAATCTCAGACTACATATTAGGTGCATTATATTAAAACTACACTATGTCAGTTTTTGCTTTCAATTTTAACAGAAAAATCTTACACAGTGCAGCAAATAGAAAACTATAGTTTAAAAACCTGCATCACAGCATCTTGTTTTCTCTACAGTTCTTACTGTTAAACAATATTTTAGGCCATAAGATAAGCTTTATACATGATGTTCTGAATCAATTTTAAAATAATAAAAGCTTGGAGTGACCTTTCAAAGCACCATCAGTGAAAAAAATACGCTAAGGACATTTCCTATATGGCTGATGTAATTTCCTGGATGTTAAATGAGGTCAACTTTAATACTATTCTAGTGTGCAAACAGTGAGCACTGAACTGAAAAGAAACTAGAGGGAAATCAAACATAATAAAGCCTCTGTGTAACCTCTCTCTCTCTCTCTCTCTCTCTCTCTCTCTCCCTACCTCCCTCCTAGTCTCCTCAGATGCCATTGGAGGAACCTAATCAAACATTGACAGTAACTAACTCTTACTGAGCCAGTATGATCCAGTCTGTACTTGGAGATTAGCTGAACACATTCATATGGTGGTTCTTAAACTGCAGTCTGGAGGGAAATGACATCATAAAACACTGAGGTCAATCAATGTAAAACTCCTTAAAGGCCTAAAACAACTCCCGTCTTGGAGAGCTAGCGCATAGCGCAGTTTGATTGTAGCCCTACTTGAGCACATTCTCTAAACACATGAGTGTAGTCAGGTGTGTTTGAGCTGGTAATTCACCAAACTGTGTTGGACACTGGCCCTCCAGAGCCAGAGTTGTGCACCCCTGCCTTAAAGGACCTGTGTGTGGGTCCATAATCAGCTCCTTACTCTCATAACTACATAACTTTCATCAAGAGCCCTATTTAAGACGAATTGGTTTTAATAGGGGAGGTGCTGTCATTTGAGTGATTACCGATCATCTGAAACATGTCATTTTAATCCAGTATGAATCTACAATATGTGCAGTCTGCTTCCTCTGTAATAGTGGTCCTGCTTCAGTCAACACAGTTATTTAACAAAACTGAGTAACAGAAAATGGCTCCTCCATTTTTTTCTTTTTTTGTGGCCTCAGGTCAAGTTCATGTCAACACCACTGAAATACATAACATTTCTGGTGATGACAGAGTTACAAGGAGAAAAAAAATGAAATATTTTGAAAGTACAAGACTTCTGTATTGTTGGGTAGCATTTGATAAGCTGCATGAATCCACTTCACTAGCCTATTGCTAGGCTATCTTGCATTAACTGTAAGTTAGCTTTTTAATCTGTTTTTTTTTATCTTAATTTTAATAAATAATTAAAATTATTTAATTATTATGGGACAAATAACACATACTTTATCTGGTATGAACCAGTCAATCAAATCAAGCACTGATTACATTACCGGCCCTCCTCTGGTAAAACTAAACCAGCTCAAATAGGGAGTAAGTTCATAGTACGTAGTGAATAAGTTACTGGATAATAAGTCTAAAGATTAGCCTCTTAACCACTTGCGTGTCCAGGTTTCTATTTCTTCTGCCTATAATTTATCAACAAATAAGATAGCCAGCATTGTTTTCATAGAAGTATCAAATAATAAGGACATATTGAGGAATAATAAGGCTTTAGGATGTAATACATCTGGGAATTCAAGAGGTTAGTAACTGAATTATAAGCATGCAGATTAAACCAGTAGACGTTTTTATAATTACTATTCAGTAACTTCACAGAAAATAAAGAAAATCAACAGAGATGCATTGATATGGGAATTGTGGGCCGATACTGATATCTGATATTTTTCATGTACAAATTTGCTGATATTGGTGCTAATATATATAAATTCATAACATTTTGAAAATAGTACTAAATCCTCCTAGATTAGCATCATGGAGAAAGCATAATATGTCTGACAAATTCAGTAAAATGATTGAAATGCAGACTTCTTAACACAGTAGCCTAGCATCACAAACCTTCAGCTCTTACAGTGTATAATAAATATGTCATCAAATATTGGTAATATCAATCTATATTACAATCAAATATTGTATTATCAGTCAAATCTAAACATCTGCCAGATTCTGATACATTTTTTAAAGCAATTATTTGTTGAAACTGATATGAATCCAATTTCATCATGCATCCCTGAAAATTTCATTTATTTCATTATTAATTATGAGAGTAAATTGTATGATAATTACAAGAGTAAACAATGGAAATCTGGACTTCCAGTTAAATAATTAATGAAATAATAAGATTTTTAACTGATCTTTTGTTAATAATCAAGTTTGAAGAGGTTAATTCTGTCTTCTGATAAGGGCCAGCACCATAGTTACTGCAGCTCTTTATGCTAGATGACATATTGAGGCCCACTGTTTTCCTGTTTCTTCTAACCTCAATGTAACACTGCTGTTTCAGTCCAAAGAAACAGAGCATTGTTGAGGTCCATCAGGCACAGAGCCAGAGTGTACTTCCTGTTCCTCAAGGCCCATCTCTGCTGGGGCCTCTGCAACAGAGCTCTTACATCTCTTCAGCAGAACCTGTGGGTTTTGATCTAATGGGCTGAATAATGCAGTATGTGTCTGGTGAGCCGGCAGGCTGCCTGTGGCTCTTTGTGAAAGAATCAAACTGCCCTTTACCTCTGGGCCACTGCTGGTTCTTCTTCAGTTTAATCTCTTTGTCTATGCTGTCTCTGCCTGTCTGTCTTCGTCTCCTTCTTTCTTTGCCTCTGACTTCTAAGTTCTTTCATTCTTTCTCCGTCTACCCCCAATAAATTAAAGTTAAAGCAGTGGTTTGGCAAAAAAACAAATTTAGTATTTTTCCAGTACCCCAAACAGCTGATTAGCCAAAAACGTGTGGTATCCAATGTTTTCTTCTTTAGTATTGCACTGGGGCTAAGAGGTTAATGTTTCTAACAATGAATGAAAGCAATGCTAATTGCATGCCTGAATCATGACAGAACTTGCTAATGTGGGTTCTGGCCACATTTTAAAAACTGAATAAATGAGTGGAGAAACATAATGAGTGGAGATGCTTCCAAACAGGTGTACTGCATGATACAACTAGGCAGTTAACATTTTACCAGGCTCAGCAGTAAGTAGGGTTGGAAATTGTGATCGAAAGCGCACATTCAATGACCATGATAATCATGCATTAGTGCAATATGTAAGAAAAAACAGAAGAGCAACTGTATCCCAAGTGACTGAGAATGTCAGTCCAGGATGTGGTCAAACTGTTTTAACAAGAACAGTCCATCTACAACTACACAGAGAGGGATATTAAAGTGGGGTTAGCAGTACATAAACCTCTCATTACACAGACAAATTCACATTTGAGAACTCAGAGGTGCAAAAACCACAGGCACTGGTCTACAGAAAAAAAGTGATATGATCAGATGAGTCATCCTTCACCACATTTTAACAAGTGGGAGAGTGCATGTATGGTGTGCTTCAAAAGAACAGAACAGGCCTGAATGCTGGTCCCCCAGTGCGAGGGGCTGTGGTGGCTCTGTTATGCTGTGTGGGGCATTTTTTTGCATGGTTTAAGGTCACTTGTCCCCTTAGAGGCAAGGGTCACTGCAAATCAATACAAAATTACTCTCACTGATCATCTTTATCCTATCTGCCATCTGTGAAGATTATATGTTAGTAGAAGAATTATGCTAATAGTGTATTTAAAAATAAACAAAAGTACATCACACAGCAAAAGCAGCAGTAGCAACCATCTTGAAGCCTGAATTTTGTCTCTTCTTTAGTTCATTTTTGTCTGAACCATCACTTTAACCTCACACTACACTGTCTGGCATCTGTGTAGTCTACCTTGCGGTTCTTAGTGGAGCTCTGGTCTCGGTGGTTCTGCAGTTATAGTCTACCTTGCGGTTCTTAGTGGAGCTCTGGTCTCGGTGGTTCTGCAGCTGGGTCTTGGTAAGCTGCAGGGCCTGGCGGAGTGCAGCGCTCTCCTGCTTCATAGCTTCTAGATCAGTATGCACACTGTCCAGCTCGGCCTGCAGCTGCTGACCCGCAGCTTGGCTCTCCCTAAGAGAGAGACAGAGAGGCTAAACAAGCTTATGGTGCATATAAATGACCAACAATCAAAAGTTTGAAATCAGTGTTTTGAATAAACACTAGCAAACTGCAAGAAACGGTAGATGTGTCCAGATTGATTAGGACTATATATGCTAAAATGACTGATAAAGCTATATAGCTCAAGAATCAAGTGTGTAATAAAATGTAAAATTAGTGATTAAATTTAAAGGCAGATAAGCTGACAAAAGTGATTGTAAATAGACAACCTTTTGGTGTTTAGTTTGTAATATACACATCTATATCTCATATATATATATATATATATATATATATATATATATAAATATATTTAGTGTGGTACTGTAATAGGATTTCACCATTGCAACAAGTCTGTTCATGAAATTTCAATGTGGAGCTGTCCCAATACGTGTATGTGTGTCTGTGTGTGTATATATATTATTGTTGTGTATAAAATGTCAAAAATGACTTAAATGACAAGTGATTCCTGGTTTTCCTGTTTGGTAGTGCACATATGAGAACCTATTAAGTACTGTGCAAAAGTAAGACCACCCTTTCATTTCAATAATTTCCAGTCAAAATGGTCAAAAGTAAAAAATATAAATTTTTCGGTGTCACAAAAGCAAAAAAGCAGGAAACATATTCAAACACCAAAAGAACACCAAAAACATCTGAGATGTGGAGCAAGGTTTTATGTACTGGTAAATAAATCTAAATTTGTAACTGGCATTGTAAGAAGCAGAAAATGAAACTGACTTCTAAGACTGAACTTTGGAGGTGTTTACAAGCAGCATGGAAAAACAGACCGCTTTGAAAAAATGAAAGGAAATCTCCCAAAAAGAATGGAAGCTATAATAAAGCTAAAGGACAGATACACTAAACACTGAAAAACTGAAATTTGGTTGTTGAGACTTCTGGGTAATTTTGTGGTGAATATAAGTTCTGTTTTTATGTGACACTGAAAAATTAACAACCAGTACCTAATTTCAATTGTAAATTAAATGAATGAATAGGTGGTCTCTAACTTTTGCACAGTGCTATATCTGTATGTGTAATTTTTACACAAATCTGTCTAAGCTATTTGAGCACCTGAGTGTGTGTATCTCCCTCTGGCTCTGCTGCAGTAGCAGGTGTGTGTTTTGGCTCTGGCTGTTCTGCAGAGCCAAGCGGTTTCGGAACAGCTCCAGGTCGTCCTGTCTGAGTGAGGCCAGCCGTTCTCTCTCTGCAGGCGGGAGGTGCTTCAGTGGGACGCATCCTGAAAGCTGCCCCTGACTCAACTCTAAAGCTTCACACAGCGCCCGCGCCAAGTCCACATACTAAACAAAGAAATACAATATAATTTCAAAGAGAGGTTACTCAGTTCAAAGGAAGAGTTCATCAGATATTCATCACATCACTGGCTCAGATATTGTTATGGACGATTGAGTCTCTATTGAATAATTAATCTCCTCTAAGTTTGAAGGTGTAATGGCCTGCTGGTTTTGGACTGATACTTATTTGGGTGACTGAGTCTGTATTGAGTAATTTTACCGCAACAGGGAGTCTCCTCATATGTGAGTTTATGAGGCAACAGGGCCTTTAACTGTCTAATAATCCTGTTTCAAAACAGCGAAGCAGCCAGTTTAATTCCATGTGGCTTATGGATTGTTTTGTCAGTTTATTACAGAAAATAGTGACAAATAACTTTTCTATAAGCCCATCACAGTTATTGTATAATCACCTGATTGCAATTATTTGAGCTGATCACAATTATTTAAACTGCAACTATTCTCCACAGTTATTAGATTTCACAGTCATATGTTAAAACTGATTTTTCAAAACCCCCGCATAATTCTGTTGCAGAGATATAAACAAAGTCATTCAGAATTGTTTGATGTGAAATGCCCCATTCTAGACAAAGTCAGTTTTTCTTTACAATGGTGGTGATAGGAACCAGGGGTGACAATGTCTACAACACTAATATCGTCATTTTATCTACTATCCAAAATGACCAGTGAACCTAAATGTGTCTTTTGAGTTTTTATATACAGTGTTAATAATGTAAAAATACAGAAAAATCTGAGCAGTTTTCTTTGCATTTTCTTTGTCTTTTTCTTTTCAAAAACACCAAAAATTCTAATGTCTGACTAGTATCTACTGACACCTTTAGAGGGCAGTGGTGAGTAAACTTTGTTTATTTGAGCTTGGACTGTTTCTGTCAGCATTCGGGAGCTACTAAGTATCAACAGTAAGGAAGCAAAATAGCTAATCAGCCAATTTGCCCACCGTAGGCTTGTACTGTAGCAGTTTAACAAAAATGACAATTAAATTGTTAATTACAATTTTTTAAATGCCAATTAATCATCAGCTAAAATGTCATGATTGTGATAGGCTAATCATGTGGATGGACATACTGTACTTGCTGAGAGGAACAGTGCACTGGATGTACCGGTGAAGTCTGAATGTTCAGTTGTATCAGAGAAGCAATAAAGATTACTGAACGTCTTGCAGTAATGCAACACTGAAAAGTTAATAACAGTTTCGGTATGCAGTCATTTCCTGTAGACCAACCACATTACACCAGATGCACTGCTACTCTCTAAAAGCTGTGGAAATACTCAGTTGAACGCATAAGGTCAGAAGTCAGAAACACATTAAGTTTCAAGGTTAACTTGCTCCAATCATTTCCACTGTAGACTCATGAAGTGATTCATTGCTGTAGAAAACTGTTTAGTTCAACCCAGCCATCAAAGTCAGCGTGTGAAGTGATAAGTTATGATGTGATAAAAGTCCTGGTTCAAAAATACCAAGTCATTTCCTGTAGCACAGATAAGAAAACCATTTCAGAGAAAAAGCAAGTCTAACAGTCAGCGACATGAGAACTGGCCATTACACTGCTGGTATATTATTATGCTGCTATCTGGGGTATCATTTGCACTTTGTAATGAGTCTGTTATGGTATACATATAATTTGCACTATAATTTGTCTGCTACTATACTCTTTGCACTGTTCAGACCCTTATACATTCGAATGTCTGTCTCACAGTCTTTTACTGTATATTCATTGTACTGTATTTACTGCTGTACTGAGGATAGTCTTGCACTTACAGTCCTCTCGCTTAGCTCCAGAGCATCCGACATGTCCAGCCTTGCTGTGCGCTCCAATGCTGCCTCACTCAGAGCCTCAGGGAAGGCAAAGCCGCTCTGCATGAACCAACCAAGCCCAGAAGCTTTAGAAATTTAGCACAGCATACGCTGCATATAGCACAGCCAGCAGAGAACAGAAGTACTGCACATCCTGACTACAGAACAATTGACTCCTTTGGTGGGGAATTCCACTAATTCTTCAAAATTTCTGCATAATTCAATGGTTGAAATGTTAACAAAGTAATTCAGTGGTTTGATGTGAGATTTTAGAGACTCAGATTTCTTCACAGTGGTGGTAATAGGAACCAGGGACAATATTTCTACAACACAAATTTAACTTTTAATATATAAAAAAGGGGAGTGAAGCTAAACACGTCTTCTGAGTTTTATATGTAATGGTGACAATGGTAAAATACACTCTCAGAAAAAAAGGTAGTAAACTGTAACTAGGGTGGTACCCCTCTTGTCACTGGGGTGGTACCTTCAAGGTACCTTTAGTCAGGGAACATAATTGTACCATAATCCATGGATATGGAATTTTTTCTGATATTTTTCTCAGCTGTATTGACACCACACCCCCCGTCTCGTCTCCAGGCTTTGTATCTTATTATTCTGTTTTAACATTAGGTTATTAAAAGGTACAAACACATACTTTTCACCTGGGAAAACATATTTAAGGTACACAATTGGACCTTAAAACCACTGTTGTACCTTTGCGGGTATATTTACATTGTTTGTGCCTTGATGTACCTGCACAGTACCTTTTTATAACAGTGTAATAATAAATTTAAAAATGTTTTCTTGCCTTACCATGTCCTGCATGTAGCTCTTCATCATGAATGCATTTAAAAAAATATGTTTGAGGCCAAAACCTTATCTTAAACCTATCATAAAACAAAGTCTCAGGCATCAGGCAGCGTAATCGCAACCATCTTGTGTAAGAACTTTGAGTGCAGAAGCTCTTTAGAGGCATAAAAATTATTCAGATGTCTGGTTCCTATCACCACGACTGTCAACAATTCTGAGTTCACCTTTAAACTGCAGGTTTATTACTCAGTTATTAACTTTACGACTTATTATTAAGTAACTACTGTAAATTATTCAGCATCTACTATGAAACATGAAACAGGAAATAGGCAAGTTATCATCGCTGTCTGAACATTAACTTGTCCAAAATGGTAAGTTTACAGGTGAAGAAAAATGTAAGTTAATGTTACTTTTAGACCATTTCTATTGGTCCATTGGTTCATTTTCACACAATGTAATGAACAGCAGACGTTTTCAAATTATGTAAAAAAATATATATAACTGCAAAACTGGAGTTAAAAGGTTTTGTTCTCACAGGGATGTTATGTAAATATGTGGACTCTTGCAGTAAAATGTACACACACTGGCCCACAGAGGCAGCTTTATTATAAATGCAAAGGAAAAGGTCAGCTGAACTGGTACCACAGAGCTGATGGAACCCCTTTGTGCTTTAAATCTCTGAGGCCTGTGAGTCTTCATTCGGCCCTGCATCACTGGCTCCACCTGCTGGCCTAACAGCTCTGCAACACAAGAGAGACAAAAAATACAGTACAACTCATCAGATTAGTGAACTCCGCACTAAAATTAAACCTAAGTCTACAATGCTGATGAGAGGCAGCTCTGGTGTAACTCACTGCTGGGCCACTTCTGTTCAACAGCTCTGATCCTCGCTCTCATCTCAGCGAGGGTTTCTCTCTGCTGACGTATCATTTCTTCATGGCGATGACTTTTGCCCTTTGAACTCTGAGGGGTAAGATCGCTGGGACTTACCATAAGGGATGCATCCTGAAAAACACAGGAAGAAGAAATCTGCAACTCTGAAATATCTGCAGAAACATTTCTCTAGAACAAGTGTACATTAGTGAATGTTTTAAGGGCAAAATGTCCTGACTTTGTAGAAAAATCTGAGAAACACCATGTCACAGTCAGCAAAATCTGTGTGTGTGTGGGTGTGCATGCATATAGTGTTTCTGCATTTCATTTTTAGCTTTTTCAAAAGACCTGATCTGTGCACAAAAAAGATTATATTAAAAAAGTGCCAAGGATTTTGCAAAAGGAATCCCTTAGTCTGTCCATCTTCATTGTCTCTTTGGGGGTCTTAAGTCAGCTCCACTTACCTTATTGGTGCACTTTGTGGTTCTACAATTACTGACTGTCTGTTTCTCTGCATACTTTTTTGGATCCTTTTCACCTTGTTCTTAAATGGTCAGGACCCCCACAGGACCACCACAGAGCAGGTATTACTTAGGTGGTGGATCATTCTCAGCGCTGCAGTGACACCAGCGTGGAGATGTGTGTTAGTGTGTGCTGCACTTACATGTGTGGATCAGATACAGCAGTGCTGCTGGAGTTTTTAAACAGCAATCTGTGTCACTGCTGGACTGAGAATAGTCCACCAACCAAAAATATCCAGCCAACAGCGTCCTGTGAGCTGCGTCCTGTGACCACTGATGAAGGACTAGAGGATGACTAACACTAACTGTGCAGCTGCAGATGAGTTACTGTCTCTGATTTTACCTATAAGGTGGACCAACAAGGTAGGAATAATTAATAGAGTGGACAGGACGTGGACAGTGTTTAAACTGTGCTGCTGTCACTGATCACCATTGCAAAACACACTAACACGCCACGACCACATCAGTGTCACTGCAGTGCTGTGAATGATCCGCCACCCAAATAATACTTGCTCTGTGGTGGTCCTGTGAGGGTCCTGACCATTGAAGAACATGATAAAAGGGCGTTAACAAAGTTTGCAGAGAAATAGATGGACTACGATCTGTAATTGTAGAACTACAAAGTGCACCTATATGGTACGTGGAGCTGATAAAACGGACAAAGAGTGCATATTTAATGAAGAAGCTGTATTTAAAATATGGCCAATCTGTGAATCTGCACGAAAATAAGTGATATTAGGCGTAAGAGAATTATTTTTGCCAAAAATTGATGTTTATTTTGTTGGATATTGGCAGATCTAAATTGACCACTGTAATAATTAATCACTACACATTGAGAGTCACTTCAGTTACGCTCAAATATGCACCTTAGTTTGTAGCAGAGGAACAAGGCTGGTGTACTCCTGGCCTACTGTTTTACTCTTCAAATCCTTCTCTGTTTGTCTAGCAGCAAAAGAGAAAAATATTGTTATTACCAAAGACACTTTTTTTACTAATTAAGATATTATGGAGGACTAGTTTGAATAAGTTTAATGAATGTTTCTGTGTATGTTTGTGCAGACTTTGAAATTAGCATACATCAGCTTCTCTCTCAGTGTCTTCAGTTCCTCATCTTTCTGTTCCAGAAGCTGCGAGGTCATGGTTAGTTTCTGAGTGAGCATGCTCAATTGCATCCTCTGATCCACCACTAAAGCTTTGTGTGTCTCCAGCTCCATTTTCTGCTGTTCACTCAGTTCCCCTGAACAGAAAGACTAGCTTTTACTTTCCATACAGAGAACTTGGAGATGACTGAAAGATCAACTTCACATTTTATCTAAAACAATTCAAAGGCTGTTTTATTGGTGATTAACGAGATGATTCAACAAATTTAGACAATTAGCCAATCAGCCAAGACATGTTTGGAGTCCCAAGTTTACTTCGTTAGTTTTGTACTGGAGCTATGAAGCTAATGTAGCTAACAAAAAATCGAAGCTTAAAATCTCATTGAATTGTGAAGTAATCTCAAACATATTCCCTTCTGATTCTGTATGACATACTGTTATCTCATGGATGTTGTAAAACCCCATCATCTGTTTAAAAAAAGCATCACTGGTCTCTGAAACACCAGTGATACACTTTTACAGAGGGACAGAACTTCACATTTGGTTAATTCCATCAACCACTGTGGGCATATGGGCATTTGATTATTTAACAGAAGTCCTGCTTTGGCTGAAAGACGTGTTCCAAAAAAGTAGTTGTGCCATCACTGGTGTTCTGATTTTTCATTGTTTTTGATGGATTATGATCTACCTGAAAAGTGTGTCAGTAAAAAAGTCCTTTGATGTGTCTTAATAGCTTTTTCAAACCTATATAGATTTTTTTTTATACTTTACCTGCATTGATTTCATCATTTTAATGACAGAATGAGATACAAGGATCACACAGATACCCTATGAAAGCACTTAAATGCCATATTTATGTTACATGGCTTTTTAATCGAACTATGCAAATTATTTAATTGGTATACAATTTTCATTTAATGTATATACATGAAAGATTTAAATATCATAAAAAATTTGAGAAAATAACAATACCATTGTGATAACACTAGTGGCATGCATACTGGAACCTTTGTTTGAAATAAAATCTAAAAATACATTGCACATTAAAAGGGGAATTTCACAGATTCTTCAAAATTTCTGCATAATTAAATGGTTAAGATGCAAACAGTGTCACTCACAGTGGTTTGATGTGAAAAGCTTTGTTCTTCCTGAGTCAGAATCGTTCACAGTGGTGATGATAGGAATCAGACGAGAGAGTTTAATGCCTCTTAAAGCTACATCACAGGAAGTTATTACATGAAGTGGTCATAAATACACTGCCTGGTGCCTGAAACACTGTTGTATGATACATTTGAGATAAGATATTTGGCCTAAAATGTAGGTAAATGTAGGGTGTCGTGAGGCAAAATAGTCCCCTAAGATTTACCACTATTTTACCATCATCAACATATAAAAACTCCAAAGACATGTGTAGGCTCTTATCACCACCACTGTAAAGTAATCTCCAGAAATTCTAAAAAATCAATGGAATTCCCCTTTAAACTCTGTTTTCATTGAAAGTGTTAAAGAAAAACTAAATTTAAACTAATTAAAACTGAAAAAGCAAACCTCTGACAAGACATGTCTTGGCTGACTGACTGCATTTGGGGTAAAGGGAAAACTGTCTAAATATTTTTGGCTGAATCGTTGCTTTAATGAAAGAATGAAATTTCTCTCTAGAGGGGTAACATGGTTTACTGGGCAACATAACATCCATTTGTGCTTTAAGCTTTTATGAGCTTAAGCCTTTGTCTAGTAGCATAAACAAGTACTGTCTGAGTGAGTTGCACCTGTGAGGTCAGAGAGGCGAGCGTGGGCATGTGCCAGGTCACGACTCAGAGAAGTGATGACCTCACCCTGCCTGACCACTTCCTGCTGGGATGCTCCAAGCGATGCCCTGAAAAAAAGAGAGTTTCCAATCAGTAAATGGATAGATCATTTTTACCTTTGTCAGCTCAAGGAAAGCATTTATTGCAAACATAGGAAATGTATCTAGAGGTGAGTAGTAACTAGTTACATTTATTCAGTTACATGTAAGTCAAATTTTGACCTTGAATGAAAACACCTTTACTTCTGCTCAAAAAGATTTGTGAGGAAAGCAATTTGCCTTTTACTCCGTTTCTTTTTTTCAATTGAGAATATGTTTAGGTTACTCATTCCACTTCTGAATAGGGCTGGACAATAAAACAATATTTATCATTATCATGATAAATTACATCACAATATGTCACAATATGCCTTTCTGAACATATAACCAGTTGTCAGTTTTTTCAAGAACTCTGACCAACCACGTTTCATTAAAAAACAGCATAATTTGTCCTGTTTAATCTGGTTTAGTGCAGTGCAGTAGGTGAAATGCTGAATAAAAATAATAATTCATTTTATTTAAGAATTTGTACTTATTGGTCTTGATGGCATTTGCAAAATGTGGCACTTCAGATTGCTTTTTTTTCTGTGCCAACTTACCACACCTCTAAACATAAAATATTGTGATATGTATTGTGAAAACATTCCTGAAATATCATGATACTATATTTTTGCCATATTGCCCACCTCTACATCTGAACATATCCAAGACATACAAAGAGCCAGTGCACATTCTGCTAATTCAAAATGTAAAAGAAGTTAGTAATATAAAAGAAAATTTAGTAGCCAAAAGTTAGTAACTATTTGAACTTCAAACAATAAGTTGACAGGGCATAAAACTTTTTTTTTCTATTAACATACTATTCAAAGTTCAATTAATTAAAAACATTCTAAGCAGCCTGATAATTAAATTTTTTAGTTAATAAAAATTCTCAATTGTTTTTACAGTATACATGCTGCATGATCTCAATGATCTGGAAAGAAACACATAGCAAAAATGCTTTTTAGACTTAGAGCCATCATGAACAAGTTACTTAAAAAGTTGTCATTTATCGTAAACATGATATGAAAACTGCGTGGTGCAACAGTTGTTTAGGTAGTGTTCAATAGAGCATAAAAACTATTGCAAGTGCTTCTCAAAACTAAATGTATGCTGCATGCTTGCACTTCATTTTATGTAGTGTTCAGAGACCATTTTCATTTCTGGATGCTTCAGTATAAGATGTGTAGGGCTGTGTAAGTCATTATTACATATTCTCATGCATAATTTCAGGTGTTAGAATGCATAATTTATGAGGTCAATATGATATTTTAACTACTTCTAATCTTATTTATGCATCATGAGATGAAGGCATGTCATGTGGAGACAATGGACACTAATTAGAAATTTATGCTCAGTATTTTAGTTGTTGACTTGTATATTACATTTACAGTATTTCAGACTCTTGTCAGCAAGACTTTGAAACCAGTGCTTTGAAACCAGTTTCAAAGATAAAATGTTTTGAACTAGACAGCAATTAACAATGACACAGCAATAAAAAACAATAATGGCCAATGTGCTGTTAATTTATTTGCTAAAATTTATTTTACCTGAGAGATGTGACTGTCTGCTCCAGTTGCTGTTGCTCTTTTGATTGCTCAAGTGCAATGCTGGGCTTGTCTTCCTCCAGTCTGCTGAGTGCCTCTATGAGACATTTATGATAAGCAGAATATTTGTAACACATATGAGAAGGACACTGACAAAGAGCCATTAGTCTGAGTTTTTCCTGTTTTGGCATCAGTGCTCAGCAAACACCTCATAGTTACGATGTAGCATTCAGTTTCACAGCTTAAAAGGTAAAACTCATCTATGGTTCACCCTGAGCACTGAAACAAAGTGAGACATTCACCTGTGAGCTGCTGTGTCAATGAGTCTCTCTCCTCCTGCATCTCTTGCCCTCTCTGCTGGGCTGTGCTCACTTGCTTTTCCATGGCGACAATGGTGTGAGCGTGCTGCCGCACCTTCAGTTCAATTTAATTCAGATGCAGAAGTGTAAAAAAACTTTTAAGCACTTTTTAACACTAAAGAAGTAAATAAAACTGTACCTGCTCCCTGTACTCATCGATCTCCACTCTGATCCTCTCTCTCTCCTCCTCTGCCCCTCTCTGCAGGGCCTCCTCCATTTGTCTCAACCACTCTCTTTCTCTTTCTTCCTCCTCCAGTTTTCTCTCCCTCCATTGCTCCTCTTGTTTTTCTCTTTTCCTGACTTTCTCTCTCAGCTCCCTTTCTTTTTCCTTTGCTTCCTCCAGTTTGGCGATCCAGTCTGCCTGCCGTGTCTCCATCTCCAAACGCAGAGCAACCTGGTAACACAGAAAATCGCAGAAATTCACACATACAGTGAATCACAATCAATCACATCTATTTTGAAATAGATTCCAACTACTTTAAAGTGCACCAGCTGCTGACACAGGAGTTCAAATGTACATAACACAGCTCCACAGAAAAACATTTTTAAAAGAATGGGACATTCTGGAGCAGTCACACAAGAGCCTAAGGCCATAATGTCCAATGACAAGCGTCAGCTAGAAGGGTATAAAGCTTTGGGCTGTGGAGCAGTAGAACTGCATTCTCTGGAGTGATGGAGCTTCTTTCAAACAGCTTTGGGATGAGTTGGTGTGACATTTGTGATCCAGAAATAATTATCCAACATCAGTATCTGACCTCTCTAATGCTCTTGTGGCTGAATGCCATCAAATCCTCACAGCAATGTTCCAACATGTAGTGCAAAAACAAAAATACACAGCAAGTGGACATGTAATGTATATGGTACTGAAAAACAGGGCCAAAATAAAATCCTAAGGCTATTTTCCAAAAGTTAAACTCTCCAAATTATTTTAAGTGTGTAAATATTAATCCAGTCACATTTGTGTATTCATTAAATTTAATAAATCATTTTGAATCATACTTAAATAATAAAACGAAATTGACTCACTTCTGCTATTCTGGCTGACTCCAGATCAGTCTTCATCTTCTCCAGTTGAAGCTTCACAATGTTCTCCATCTCTGTCTGTCTTTCTGCAACCTGCACATTTAAATCAACCCACCACTTTTCTGCTGAACTGAATGCACTGAATACAGTATCACTAAGTGTTAACTTCAGTTATGCAGCTGAACTGGAACGGAGTTGAGTGTGTTTACTACGTTCATTACTACATACCTTTACTGACACCAACTGAATGTAATTAAGCTTAGTTACTATACGTCATTAGCAGAACCTGTAGTTTCTGAAGTTCCAGTTCTTGTTTCATGGCTTCCAGACTGTCCTGCAATTCACCAGCCTGGGCTTCTCTCTCTTCAAGCTGCTCCTTCTCTGCCTGCCATAGTATCACAAACCACATTAGCAAGCCCATTTGGGATTACTTAACAACTCAACACAGTTTGAGGCAAGTGTGTGATTTAGGCATGCAATTTGCACAGTACTACCAGCAAACTAGAATATTCCATTAATTGTTATATACGTTAGCCTCGCAGTTTCAGTGCAAAACTAAAGAAGCAAACTTCAGCCACCAAACATCTTGATCATGACTGACCGGCTACGTGTGGAGTAATGCGAAAATTATGTAAATGTGTTTTTTGGTTGAAGTGTTACTGTAACTTGGATTCTGAACACATTTCACAAAACATATTCAGACCTTCAGATTCTTGAGTTCTGCTTGAATTTCCAGACACTGATGGCACAAAGCCTGTATGGCCCCTGACACTCCTACAACAGCATAAGAACAGGTAAACTTTCAGTACCTCTATTATTATTTTTCACTGTATTTTGTAGTCTGCTTCTGACTTTCTGTCTGTTCTGTTACCTCCATTTCTCTCAGACACCTCAATTCCTGCCGCCTGCAGTCTGTTCACAGCGTCCTGCAGCAGTGTGTGTAGACTGGTCAGTATAGAGAGTGTGTGAGTCAGAACCCAACTGACAGCAGGACACACACTCTCATCCTGAAGGGCAGATATTTGGCTCTGTATTGCATCCATCATGCACACTTTCTTTGCATGAATCTGTGCACAGTGACAAAAACAAACATTCACACATAAGTAACTGTTCTAGTAAATTCACATTTGCATTACAATGACACTGTCATAATAAAATGCAAGTTTTACAATGTGCATGTTTTTCTACTTAGAAAAGTACTGATTAAATAAGATGATACACTTTATTTAATGAGGGTAACCCCTTAAACCTTAAAGGAGCTACATACACAAACTGCACTGATTTTTATATATAGCCATATGCAGTAAAAGTTAACACATTCTCTACAAAGAACGCACTTCTGCACATTTTAATGCACCACTACTGTTTATTGGCTGAACGTAACGTGTTGGGGAAAAAATAAATCATGGACATCATGACCTGTGCAAGTTATAGCACATATTTTATGTTTTAATTTTTTCCAATATGTTAAACTGCAAATAAATAGAAACTTTGCTCTAAGAAAAATGTCATAGTTAAGTTTGTTTTCTGTAGAGCAGAACTTATTTTCATTTAGAATATTGCTGCTGTCATGCAAAAATCTCCTTTTTTTGACAATTGTTTACTTTTTTACATAATTTTTACAAATTTCCCATTTAAGGGACCAATACAAATGGTCTAAAATGACTTTGAAAGAAATCTTGTTGCATTAACTGCCATTACAAGTTAAGACATTTTTTCCTTCTCCTGTAAACTTACCATTTTGGAAATATGAAATTTTGTTCTGACAGTGTCGATATATAAGTTGTATTATTATAACAATGGAAAATAGTATGCTATCATTGCTGTTAAATATTTTATAGGGCATTTCCAATAGCTGATTGGTTGATAATACCTGCCATTCAGCCAGTCTGGCCTTGAGTTTCTCACTGTCTTCCTCCACAAGCTTCTGGTTATCAGTGTGTTCTTGAAGTTGTTGCTCCAGCTCCTTCATTCTGGACCTGAACTCCTCCTTCTGTTCTGCTAACTCTGACAAATGCTCCAACACCTACACACAGAACACGTCTGTTGTAATTGCTGGTGTTTATCTGAATTATGGAGTGGGATCATAAATGTAAGGATGGGCTGACGGACAGATTAACCCCTTAAATGGCAAGAACCGGCCTACTGGTTCAGACTAACAGGAGAACATGTTCAACAACACTAACGTAAAAAAAAGTTTAAGATCCATGACGCAGACTTCCACATTTGCAATATGGCTGATTTTGCTATTATAATGCATTGTGAAATGCATTATTTGGTATATATCACAAAGTACTCTGTTGTTTCCAGGCTGCCTGTATGAGGATCTGGCTCCCACTTGGTGGCAAAAACCTTTGGAAGAAATTAAAAAACACATTCCCAGGATGCTTGCATCTTTATACATGACCATGAGTGGACAAGAGTGTCTTCTGTTGAGCTTATTACAGATAGAAGATACCTTTAACAGGTTAACTGACAAATGGATAGAAGCATGGACAAATTTTGGAGTGGATTTTGGAGTGGAATGGATGAATGCACTAACCTCTTTCTCTGATACGGTTTCGGAAGTGAGGAGTATGCATTTTTTTATCTGACTGAAAAGATTCTCGAGCTGAAAAAAAAGAGTCAGAGCTTTTAATTTGTGAATAATATGTCTACCAGTGGATGCATATTACAGTTATTTATTACAGTCCCCTCACCCTTGTCTGTGAGTGTCTCAGCTCTGTTTGAGCTTTCTCTTCTCTCTGGAGCGTGTGCTGCTGCAGAACCTTCAGTCTGCTCATCTCAGTCTGAACAGAGACTTGCTCCTAAACCCAATCACACAAACACAGGAGAGAGTTCACCACACTGTGAAAGAATCTGGTGTTTCAACTCATAAAAGTTAGCTACTGGGATGCCTTAAAAGTTGAGTATATTAAACTTCATGAAATGGGTCAAGCCAAGTGGAGCTTGCTGCCACTGGACTCCAGAGCAGTGGAAATGTGTTTTCTGGATTGATGAATCATGCTTCAATATCTGGCAGTCTCCAAACGAATTTGGTTTTGGTAGATTCCAGGAGAATGCAATCTACCTGAATGCACAGTGCAAACATTAAAGTTTAGTGGAGGAGGGACAATAGCTTGGGGCTGTTTTACAGGATTTGGGCTCAATCTTTTAGTTCCAGTGAAGGGTAATATTAATGTTACAGCATGCAAAGACATGTTAGACTGTTATATGCTTCCAACTCTGTGACGACAGTTTAGGAAAGGCCTTTCCTGTTCCAGCATGACTGTGCCCCTGTGCACAAAGCAAGTTCCATAAAGACAGGGTTTGATGAATTTGGTGCAGAGGAACTCCACTGGCCTGCACAGAGCCCTGACCTCAACCCAACTGAATACCTTTGGGATGCACTGGAACAACTGCGAACCAGTTCACATCCAACATCAGTGTGTGACCACACAAATGCTTTTTCAACTTTTCAATATCATTGATAGTTTTGAAATGAGACGTAAAACAATCTTATATAGGTGTGATAGTTAGGTGTCCATATACTTCAGGCCATATATTGTATGTTGTAGATGTTAATTTAACCCCTTAATCCGCAAGGGCTCTCACAACTTCTTATTCTAATAACTACACAATTTACACTGTAATCCAGAATAATTAATAGACATTACTGATAAGTCTTACAATGCATTTCTCATGAGGCTTTAGTGCTGCTTGCATGTGACTATATGAATGAAAGTTCATCTGTTTGTTCTGACCTGCGTCATCAGCTCCAGTCTGTGTTTGAGGGAGTCTCTCTCTGTGTTCTGCTGCTTTAGCTCATTCTGTTTCTCTCTCAGAGTCCTCTCCAACCTCTCTACAGTCTACAGGACAACACAGAACACTTAGTATCCAGACAGAAGGCACAGAAAGACTGACCAGTATGTAACTGCATGAATGTGCACCTTCTTGAGCGATTCCACCTCCTTTTCTTGGGCAAGAAACTCTTCTTGATGCTTCTCAGTCTCTTTCATCTGTGATAACTGTGTGAAAAGGGTTTTTACAAGATTTATATCTGAAAAGAATGTCAGTTTGGAGTAGAGTGGAGATAAACGGCAGAAGCATGTAACATTAGGTTTGCATACCTTAGTAGCCATGTTGCTAAGCTGAGCATCTTTATATCTCACATCCTGTCTGAGTTTGTCAACCTCAGCAGCCAGCTTCAACGTCTGCTTCTCCCGAGCCACCAGGTCCCTCTGCAGACTGTTCACCAGTGCTAGAGGAGGAAAAGCAAACCACATGATCAACAGCTCAATGAAAGAATTTAAAGTATGCACTTAAGTAACACTTTTCTTGCTTTTTTTTTGAGAGTGATGTATTATGTACATGTTGTTGAAATACTAAGCTGCTAAACTAAGCTGCAAAAAAACAGTCAATTCATTATAGATCTGATGTCACAAGTATGAACACATTTACATATGACTGCCCATTTAGGTCACATCAGTTTAACCCATCCATTCAGGTTGAAGTGATATGGAGTAGAGAGTCTGTGGCAGACCCCGGACTGCTTTCCGAAAGAGGCACAACACAGGTCAATACAATCACTTCCACATATCAGTCTTAAAGACAACTTGGTTAAAAAAAAAGGTTGGAAAATGGTCATGTAAAAATGTCTATGCCCATTTTGGTTATATAACCACAGAAAAATTCTAAGTGGACTTCTGAGAAAAAAGTAAAATATAAGAAAAATGTAGCTCATTGGCCATTTAAGTCAAAAGACCTCTGTAAGAGGATTCTTGTCATCTAAAAATAAATTATATGTCAAATATTTCATTAAATGAATAGTAGAGAAAAAGATTATGCAGAAAGAAGAAGAGAGGTTTAATGGATGCTCCTGGCAGTGCTGCAGTTTTACCTGTGCACTTGCTGTTTTCACTCTTGAGGTTAGCCAGCTGTGCTCTCAGACTGCTGATCCTCTGCTCTCTCTCTGCCACAGCCTGAGCAACAAGCTCACCTGAATTCTTCTGCATCTCCAGCATCTACATACATTACCTAAGCTGTAGTCATAGTTCAGTACTGCATGTAAAATACATATATGCTCCAAAAAGTGATGCACTTCATTTACCTGATTGAAATGTTTATACAATTTCCACATGAACACCATATATTACATCAGCACCTGTATTGCAAAAAATGAGTAACCTAGAAAACACAATCGACTGATGTAATATACACTGATGAGCCAAAACATTATGCCTAATATGCTGATGGTCCTCCGCATGACACAGCATGGACTCAAAAAGTCCTGAAGATCTGTGGTAGCTGGCACCAAGACGTTTGCAACAGATCCTTTAAGTCCCGCAAGTTGCAAGGTGGAGCTGCCGCAAATCAGACATGTGGTTCCAGCACATCCCATGGATGCTCAATCAGATGGAGATGTGAGGACTTTAGAGGCCAGGGCAACACCTTCAACTCCCGAACAACGTGTGCAGTGTGGTAGGATACATTACGGTGCTGAAAGAGGCCACTGCCATTAAGGAATACCAATGCCATGAAGGGGCGTATCTAGTCCAAGGTAGGTGGCAAGTGTCAAGTTGACACTCACATGAATGTCTTCGCTGCCCTCGTGCATCAATGAGCCTTGGATGCCCAACTCGTTGTTGGTTCGTTTGTCCCTCCTCAGATCACCATTGGTAGGCACTCACCACTTCTGACCAGGAATACCCCATAAGCCTTGCCATTTCTGACCCAATCGCCTGGCCATAACGATATGGCCCTGGTCAAAGTCACTCAGGTCTTCTCTCCTGCCTATTTCTTGCACATCCAGCACATCAACTGAAAAAACTGACTGTTTGCTTACCATCTAATATATCCCAGACCTTGACATGTGTCGTTGTTGCAAGATAATAATTGTCATTCGCTTCAACTGGTCATAATGTTTCGGCTCATTTGTGTATTTCATTCTTGTGAAAATGATGTGTACACCTTTTTTCACAACATTTTGTTGTGCTTAATGGCAACTGAAAAGAGAGAGAGATGAGAACACAAAGAGAAAGAAAGAGAGAGTAATGGTATCACTCTAATCTCCACCTGTTCCTTTAGCTGCTGGATTTCCTCTTTTTTCTCCTGGATGTCTCTGGCCAAGTTGTTGAGTTTGTGTCGGACATCAGGGTCACTCTGACTGCTCTGAGCAAGTTGCAGCCGGAGTGCTGACACCTCATCCTTCAGAGCCGCAATCAGACATTCTTTCCTCTGAGCTTCTCCCTCACACATGATCACACCACCCAGGTCCTCACCTTGTCTCACCCAGGTCTCCTCCTGAACACAAAAAGCACATGAGACAGGACAAAAGACAGGTTTCCCATGTTAAAGCTCACAACTTCAACATGAAATCAAAAGAAACTCTAAGTACACTAGCATTCAAAAGTTTAGAATCACTGTTTTCAGTAAAATAAAACTAAATTGTTGAAGGTACATGTATAAAATGATTCTACAATAATGCTAATACTAGACAACTTTAAAGTTTTCAATTAAATTACTGAGAAACTGTAAAAATGAAAGGACCCATATCATGGAAAACTTTCTTGAAACAAAAGAGTTTAATGTACTATATCAAAGTTTCAAAGTGTTTCATTCACTCCCCACTCCATGCAGTCCATATATGAAAACTAAGCTGCAAAAACAGCCTGTGTTGAATTCACTGTTTCTGTGATTTTACAAAAACCAACACATTTACAAATCTCTCCCTATTCAGCCTTCAGCAGTTTTGCCCCGCCCTTTCATGCTGAAATTATAAGGAGTGTTTTCAGCTTGGACTGCTTTTTGAATAAAGCCGTCCACAGTACAGGACAGCCAATCAGAACAGAGCTCACTTACACATATCAGTCTTAAAGGCACAGTAACAAAAACAGCTTGTTTAATTCTAAGGGACAAAGAGAGGTCATGTAAAAAATAATTATGGTTGTTAAAAAATAAAATACAACACAAAATGTAGGATATGTGCCCTTTAAAAGATTTTAGATACAGCCAGAATGATGAACAGAGCTGTATAACTTGATTATAAATGAGAAAGCTATAAAAGAGAATAAAGCTGTAAACAATGGAAAAAAAATTGACATCCAGAATGGATCATGTTTGTAATTAAATTTTGAGCAAATAACGCAGTTATTAAATTAAGAACTTTTAAATTTATTATATAGTAACAGTGTAGCAAATTAAAAGTAACTCTCGACTAATGAGGGTTTAACTTTCTGCATTAGACCCACCTTGTCCTGTATTAAGTCCTGCATGCTGTTAGAGCTCTGTGACGCAGTTATATTTCTCAGAGAGAGTTCTCTTCCTGTGCTGCTGCACCAGCTTCCTACAGGAATAAGAAACAGCAGCTTAACATTTCTTACAAGAACAGTTTACTCTTTTCATTCATCTTCGCAAATCCGTGACGGTTTCTATGCACTGTTATGAACCTGTAGTAATGAATAGGAAAGTTTAAATGAAATAAAAGGAAGCCATTACCTGCTCTGTAAGAGTGGCCCCAGGATTTTGAAGTCTTTGGAGCCAAACTAGCGCATTTCGCTCCTGCGCTGGCAGGCCGAGGCCTATCAGGGGGACGTGGGGTAACAGGAGGGGACCGTGCACGACTCCTTGTCCGGGCTGTGGGGACAGCAGACTGGGCAGGTAGAACAGGGAGCTGAGTGACAAAAAAACAAAAAAATAAGTGGAACACGAGGAAATATCCTAACAAGAAAAGCTAGATGACTGCCAGGCTGATATATCACATAGCACAAAGACACTCTTAGTATTTTCCAAGTGACAATTCTGGTACACTAGTTGGGATTTCCATGTGAGTTCTATATAAGACTTCTAGAAAAAATGGAAACATGTAAAGAAATCTGTAAGCTGATGGACACAGTTACAAAGATACACCAGATGTTCAAAAGTATCCAGACACCTACCCTTCCAAAATTTCTTCTGAAATCAAAGGTATTAATGATTGTATCCAGCCACAAGAACATAGTGAGATCAGGTAATTATTAGTGCTTATTAGTTCTGGATAACAAACACCACTCCAACACATTCCACATATGTTCAGTGGTAATTCATAACTTCAAAGAATACCTTTCCACTGCTCTACAACCCAATGGTGAAGTGTGTAAGGTCATCTCAGGCTTGTGGCTGATTGTTTTTTTTGTTTTTTTGCACTAAGCCCACCACAAACATTGCAATTTGGTCCCCCCACAACAAAACATATCATGTTTTCTATTGAGATTACACAGCTGTGCACATGCAATTAAAAAGCAACTAGTGTGCCTCAAAAAGCCCTTAATCAGAAGGGTTTTGTGGATGTGTGGACATTTAAAAATCAGTGAACAAGCTATTTGTTCTCTTATACATTCAAATATGTCATAGATCTTACTGCATCTTTAGTGTCCAGTATGAGCTCATAGGTTGAGCCTCCATAGCCAAAGTGAAGTTCGTCTCCAGGTGTAAGGCGCACTGCTGCGTTGTGTATGCGACAGTCATTAACGTAAGTGCCATGGACAGAGTTCAGGTCACTCAGAACATAACAGTGCTCCACCTCACTCCATTCTATAGTAGCGTGGTGCTCCTCCACACCACCATTCTGTTGGGCAAAATACAGGCCAGAGTCAAACGCCCAGGCCCAGTTTAAACAAGCTCACCACTTAGATATATTCATGTTGCAAGAATCTTCAAATATTAATTACTGATTATAATATTCTGTGCATAAATAAGTCAGATGTCTGGTTTTTGCTTCCAGTGTCCACTAGTGTTTTGCAGTAAATAAATCTGAGTCTGATGCCATAAGCCTGCAAAAGCCTAAACCTTTATTGCCACATGTATGGTATCATCTTGTATGGAATTATTTCCCTGTGCCTTGTGAGTGCCAACCTTCAGGACTTTCCATAAACTTTCCAAAGTGATAGCTGGAATTTCTATATTCACAAACATGGTTCACCCTCAACTATTACACTGATTATCAATAGATTTGTGGTGGTGTAAGTACTGTCAGACATTTAATACAACAGTAAAAATAACAAAATATACAAGTCCAGAGAGGCCATGAGTTATAATTTATAATTAAGTTATAATTTTCTGGACTGTTAACTTGAGATCATGACTTAATTGTCTTGTGATCTCAAGATAAAAGTTGTTTTCTCAAGATCACAACTAATTTTGAGATCACAAGACAAATAAGTTGTGGTACTGAGAAAACAACTTTTGTTATGTTGAGATCACAAGACAGTTAAGTCATGATCTCAAGATAACAGTCTAGAAAATTATAATTACCTCATGGCCTCTCCGGACTTCCGTAGTATACATACTGTGCCTCGTTGATTGAGTTTCAAAAACACACGCTATGTCATTATATTCCTCAGTATATGCTGAAAAATAATTGATGATAGATCTACAAAAAGATCCCTAAGTCACCTGTAGACAGAGATCAGCATCCTTGTGTCTTCCCACCGTGGTGCGCTTGGACTTGAGTTTAAATATCCAGTTTAGAGTTTTAAGGTAAGCCTTCATTTCAACCTGGTCAAAAAACAAGCTGTTTAAGGATAAATCTTAAACTTAAAATAGCTAACTATACGTTAACTATACGCCTAACTATGTGTTAATGTATTGCTGTATTAGACAGTCTATGTTCAGTCTTTGACTTTTGTAAAGTTATCGTTAGCTAGGTTACCTTGTTTGTTGAGCATGAAGTTAGCATGAAGTTAGCCGTCCTCCTTGTCAGAGCTGAAAACACCACACTGCAACACTGCAAATAACACTGCAGATTTTTACAGCTTCACTGTTAATTACATACATCCCTGTTTACTCCAATAAACGGTCGTCACTCATCAATTATGTAAATTAAGCTTCCTCGAGGGAAAAGCAGCAGCATTTTCAAGCCTCCAGAGACTCACGAGACGAGTTGTATACAAGCGTCATGGTAACGCCGGCCTGGAGAGCCCCGCCCCCGGGAGTTATTTTGCCTATCGATATTCCCTCGTGCCCCGCCCTCCAGTGCAGTCCGCCAATCCTAGCGCTGGAGGGCGGGGCTGTCTGAATGACATCTGGTTGCCTATTTGAAAAAACACAGAACACACATTAACCAAATAGTGTAAACTGATTATTTCATAGTGTTTTAAAGTTACCATAATGGACTATACGGCTTTCGCAGACTACTTGAGATATTGCAGAGAGTAAAAGCTCACAAAAAGTAAAAACTTTTTTCATTTGCATTTGAATTTTAATAATAAAATAATAGCTTAAAATGGATACCTTCAATAAATTATACCAAATGCACTAAAAATATCCAGAAATCTTTACAACTTATTTTTACATTTTTTATAATGTTGGAGAGGGTTTAGACTAGATTTTGGAACATTGCTGTGATAATTTGATTGCATTCCATCACAAGAGCACTAGTGAGGTCAGGCTCTGATGTTGGAAGATTTGTTTTGGAATATAATACACTTTACACTCTACAATTGCCACTTTATACTTTATACTCTAATTACCACTTTGTACTGTATATTCAGTGGTGTTCAATCACTGTACCACAGCTCATTACTGGAGGGCTTTATACCCCTTTATCCAACACATGGCATTGGGAAGGGCAACCTTAAGTCCATGCATGGCTGCTCCTGAGCATCCTACTCTATAAGCACAAAATTAACGTCTGTGTCAGCAGTAGGTGCACCTTAAAACAGCTCAATTCACTAATTAAAGTGGGTGTCTGAATTCTGTTGGACATAGTGTGTATATCTCACACACTAATAGGATTCCTCTCTAATAAAGAAATTAAATGAAAAAAACTATGGGTTGGAGAAAGTGTCTAAATAAAAGACACTTTCTCCAACCCATAGGTTTTTTCATTCTACACTGGTATATGGCATCACTGAATTGTTTCAAGTTATAATGGCATTTTAACTTTATTAAAGAAACTCAACATGTTATTTTAATGTGTACAGTTACAGTACAGGTAGTTATGAGCAATATAAGGAAAAATGAAAAGCATTTTGCATAATCTGTTTTATTGGTCATACATTTTTTTCTTTGTACAGCTGGCATCACCTTTTAGTTTGTGGTCATCACCTGGACAAAAGAAGCAAAAGAGTTACTATCTAAATGACTGTGAGAAGCAGATAAGACCTGTGTGCTTTGCAACCACTAAGTGTAGCTAAGCAAGCATGCTAACACACTAACTGTAACTATATTATGCATAGACAGGTGAGGTGCGAGTGCATCAACCTTGTTGATCCAGTCAATGTAGGAGGCGACGCGGGTGAATAGGGGGGGCTTACTGGGGTAGTTACAGCTAACACTGGAGCTAAAGCTCACCACACCCTGAACGTCCCAGGTGCCATCAGACCTCCGGCAGTTTAAAGGACCACCAGATTCACCCTGGACAAGACATCACAAGCACATACAGCACTAGTCAGTAAATAATATTATGAACAGCATATGGCCTGCAAAGAGCTGATGTATAGAAGCAAGATTAGCCTCATGTTTTGCAAGTGAACTTGATTTACAAACTGTAGTAATCATTAAATCAAGACTGTTAAACAATATTTTGGTGAAAAATCAAATGTATTGAATTTACCCTCAACCTGAAATAAAGCTTTACTTTCATCCACACTTTACTCCATTTTTATACATAACTGTCCTACGTTGCCAAAAACCACACCGGTAAGTAAATTTTAGATTACTTAACAACTTGACACAGTTTGAAGCAAGTTGCTGCTGTTGGAACAAAACCTCGTATCTCCAAAGTGTTAACTTTACAGGAGAAGGAAAAAATATACTTTACATTTAATGTAAGTCAATAGAACCAGAGATTTTCCAAGTATTTTGGGTCATTTCCTTTGGTCCATTCATCATGAAATTGACATACAATGTAAAGGACAAAAGACATTTTTAAATTATGTCCAAAACTGAAAAACGACAAAAATGGAGATACAAGGTTTTTGTTCTGACAGCAGTGAAGTGTGTAGTGACTTAGGAATGCAATTTGAACAATGCTAATTGTTTGCTAAACTAAAATAATACCATTATTTTCCATTGCTTGTTAGCTACATTAGCCTCATAGCCCCAGTACATAACAAAAGAAGCAAACTTCAGACAAAAACATGTCTTGGCTGATTATCTACACTTTGGGAAAGTGGAAAATTGTGAAAATATGAATTTTTGCTAATGAATTGCTTTAAGAGACATGAGTCATTCAAGTTAGGACAAGTAACGCAAAAAGAGGAATGGCTAGATAGAGGACTTACAATGCAACTGTCCAGCTGGTCAACACATAGCATTTTCTCAGTAACCACATTTCCCCACCAATCAGACTGACGGCAGATAGAATGATCAACCACGAGAACCAGAGCCTGTTTCAGGACGCTGCTAATAGGGCCTCCAGCTAGAGAGAGAGAGAGATAAAATAGAGTAAATGGGAGAAAAAGAGGGGTTGATTTTTCCAAGCAGATTGAACACATCTAATCAGTGTTTAAACTGTTAAAACAGTTGAAAGGTCTATTTTGTTTTAATGCTGCAAACTCACCTTTTAATCAGGCAGCCAAACTCAGTCAAGATTTAAAAAACATTTCAAAATGTACTTTTTAATTTGGTATAATTGCATTTAAAGTATACAATCCTTTTATTTATATTTATCCGTATGTTGTCTTTTTATAACTATTCCTTTTTATTTAGCTTTATGAGTATTTTTAAATGTAACTTCATTGCATGATTGTAAAGCACCTTGACCCACAAATTGTAGAAAGTAATAAAGTTGATTATTGTTATATTTTTAATATAATCATCAATGCCAGCCAGATCAGAAATAGGTCAAAGTTTTTTATTCCTAGTTAAGCTAGACTGGATTGAAATGCTGTTATTTCAACTAAATGGATCAATGCAGCAGAGGACTATAAAGGAGTCATAACAATTTCTGTTCTTAAGTCCTGTTTATGATGAGCTGCGGTTATGCCAGGCTACTCACTCAAGCGACGGAGCCAGTAGGTGGTGTAGCAGGGGTAGCCATTGGGCAGGATCTGTCCAGCCTCGGGCAGACAGGCAGCCTGGATGGTGTCAGAAAACTGCACAGGGGTCTGCAGCTTGATCAAGGCAATGTCATTCCTGAAACAAATGCAATGCTTTGATATGATATGTTAAATAAAATAAAGCCTTGTTTGAAGTAGGGATTATTGTTAATCTTCAAGGACATTTAAAAGATCTCAGTGGTGTCAGCATATTGAAGGTAACTCTTACCGGTATCTGTTGGAGTCCCAAAGCTCATGGATGATGATTTTGGCAGGAGCGATGGCAATGGAGCCCTCCTCATGGGTGTTCAGATTGTGCTTACCCAGATACACTCTGTAGGTACGACTGCTGCTGGGCCGAACGTGTCAAATATGATTCAGCATGTCTGTCATTAATGTATTATACTCAATACATTGGTCTGATATTTATCAAATAAAGTTCAGTATACATTATCTTAAATTTACCATTTATTACTTGTATTTACCCCCTTGGACCCTTAAATTGTGTACATGAGTCACACAGATTATTGACTGTTTGTTTGTTCATTGCTTGTTACATTTACCTTTCACTGACACTGGTGTGAAAAGTGCTCTATAGATAAAGTTACTATTATTATTATTTACAAGGTGCCCTGTTAAGCATATGAGTCAGTGTGTGTTGCCACTAAAATGAAAGTAGGAAAAGAGGTTTCCTACCTGATGCAGTGAGCAGCAGTGAGGACCCACTCGTTAGATATGAGGGTGCCTCCACAGGTATGGTAGTAGGTGCCACCACTCAGATACTGCAGAGAGGCCTACAGTATGTCGATGCAAATGGGGAACAGTTACTGTATCATTGAACTGCACTGAACAATGAATAAGTAAATAAGTTTACTTACAGTTAAATTAACCTACGTAATTTATTTAAGCAGGTCAAATAATCATAATATTTATGTAATCAGTGAACATAACATTTCAAGTGTTTCTATTTTACTGTCATTTGTCTTTTATCATAGCATAGATTAAAATGAAGAGGAAGTATTAAGATATACATTGATAGATGGCTCAGTTTCATTTTAAAATTTAATACTTTACGACTGTACTTTGATTAGTTACAGTTTTTGAAAAATGCAAAGTCTAGAAAAAGTTTGACATATAATTGTACATTTCGTAAAACGCAGATGACAAAGTGACGTAATATTCAGCAAGGGGCATTCTTATGCCAAATAGCAGGGCATCATGCCCCTTTAATTTTTTGTGCCACAGAAACAAAACTGACTGCTGTTCCAGTTTAGATTACCTGACTGTATGTAAGTTTATGTATCATCATCCTGTACATGCTAGATGTGATTACAGTCAAGGAACATTGTTCTTAATAGGTTTTCCCCATTTTCCCCTGCACATTGTCAGGTAAAGCAAGTGTATATGTGAATCAAGCATATAATATTTAGATTATAACCTATCAATTTGTGCACGAGATTATGAAATATGGAGCAAGACGCATGACCATGACAGCGTGGACTAATAGTTTCCAATATAAGTATCTAAGTGCACTACTTGTTCTACGTTATTTGTAAAAGTTGTGTGACATTGGTCCTTACTCATCAACATTGCATAAGAAACAGTTCAGATTTGACTGCTTTTAAAGACATACGGACAGCTCTACATCTGATTCCTGAAACTTTCCTACAATATGGAAACGATTTAACTGCAAATGATAAATCAACTTCCATGTGTGGAATCAAGTGCCAACCTACCAGTACCTTGTTTACATGTTATTTGCATGAAGCACACCCTAATTCATGCCAAGGTTTTGGTAGGGAGCCAATAAAATGACCCATTTCAGGGGCACACGAGCCAGTCGCTTTGCTCGTGTTCTGTTGATTTACAACCCCATTTCCAAAAAAGTTGGAATGCTGTGCAGAATGTAAATAAAAATAGAAGGCAATGATATGCAAATCATGTAAACCATGTTTTTAAAGGAAATTACGAAAGACAACATATCAAATGTTGAAATTTGAGAAATTGTATTGGTTTTGAAAAATACACGCCCATTTTAAATTTGATGCCAGCAACACAATCCAAAAAAAGTTAGGACAGGGGCATGTTTACCAATGTGTTTCATCACCTCTTCTTTTAACAACAGTTTTTAAGCGTTTAGGAACTGAGGAGACCAACTGCTATAGTTTTGAAAGTGAAATGTTATCTCATTCTTGTTTGATATAGGATTTCAGCTGCTCAACAGTTCAGAGTCTCCTTTGTCATAGTTTTCATATGTTATCAGTGCATAACAGGTCTGGACAGCAGGAAGTTCACTTTAGCATCTAGACTCTTTTAAAATGGAGTCATGCTGTTGTAATACATGCAGAATGTGGTTTGGCATTGTCATGCTGAAACAAACAAGGCCTTCCCTGAAAAAGACATCATCTGGATGGCAGCATATGTTGCTCCAAAACATGTATATTTCATTCAGCATTAATGGTGCCTTCACATATGTGCACGTCACCCATGCCATGTGCTCTAATGTCCCCCATACCATCATGAATAGTGGCTTTTGAATTGTGCACTGATAACAAGCAGATGGTCTTTAGCCCGGAGGACACAGTGTCCATGATTTCCAAAAAGAATTTCAAATGTTGATTTGTCAGACCACAGGACACTTTTCCCCTTCACCTCAGTCCATTTTTATTGAGCTCAGGTTCAGAGAAGGCGGCAGCATTTCTGGATCCTGTTTATATATGGTTTCTTCTTTGTGTTTTAGAGTTTTAACTTGCATTTGTGGATGTGGTGATGAACTGTGTTCACAGACAGTGTTTTTCAGAAGTGTTCCTGAGCCCATGCAGTGATTTCCACTACAGAGTCAAATCTGTTTTTAATGCAGTGCTGCCTGAGGGCCCAAAGATCACGGCCAGCAAATACAGGTTTTTGGTCTTGTCCCTTGCATACAGAGATTTCTCCAGATTCTCTGAATCTTTTAATGATATTATGTACCATAGATGATGAAAAGCAAAAGTTCTTTGCTTTGTTTTATGCTGAGAAACGTTATTCTTGAATTGTTGCACTATTTGCTTGTGCAGTCTTTCACAGAGTGGTGGACCCTCCACACTTCTGAAAGACTCAGCCTCTCTGGGATGCTTTTTTTATACCCAATCATGTTACTGACCTGTTGCCAATTAACCACCAGGTGTTTTTTTTAGCATTACACAACTTTACCAGCCTTTTGTTGCCCCCGTCCTAACTTTTTTGGAACGTGTTGTTGGCATCAAATTCAAAATGGGCAACTGTTTTTCAAAAAACAATAAAATTTCTCACTTTCAACGTTTAATATGTTGTCTTTATACTATTTCCAATTAAATATAGGGTTTAAATGATTTGCACATCATTGCATTTTGTTTTTATTTACATTTTGCACACATCCCAATGGAAATGGAAATGAGGTTGTATTTTGCTACTAACCAGTGTCCAACAAACAACATATGCTGGTTTTGCTGGTGGCCACACATGCTAGTCTATGCGTTTTTTTTCTAGTAGTGTTCCCCTACCTTTCAAAAAGTTCATGTAAACTTTGACAAGCTGTTGTTTTGGTCTCCACAATGCTGTCTGCTTAATGCTCTCTACAGTTTCACAGCATTAGCATGTAATTCCACAGAAAGTTAACAACATTACCTGACAACATTCTACAAGGATGTGGCAACATACTGGCAATGTGATACAAATACAAAGTTGATCCAAATTGCTCGCTTAAAATTACAGTGTTTAAATAAATATGTTTTAGACATGCCTAGAGTGACACGCACAAGTTATATGCCCAGTGCAGCCAGCAGGTGGCAAGGGAAGCAATTCACAGTGCACAGCTGCTGCAGATCTTAAACATATCTAAATAAAATGAAATAAAAATACCAGCTCCATTCTGCAAAAAGCACACATAGGTATTTCCTATGCTCATACCTCAGAGATCTTTTGTTATTTTTCCATTACTCTTTTTAGCAGTTGTAGTAAAACAGTCCTGACTGGATTTAATAAATCACCCCTAGTTTCACCCCTAAATAATCTTTTTCATCAGATTATAACAGATACTTATGCAAGTAAACTATGTCCAAGCGATAGAAAATGACAGAAATTAGTACAGTGCTGAGATGATGGTACCTGCCAGGGCCAGCTGTGAGCTCTGGCATCATCTACATCACTTCCACCATCTCCAACTACCCTGTTCAACACGGGTGGGTAGATGGGCTGCCCACATCCATAGGCTATTTAGTGTGCACGTACACAAACATACATATATAAGATAGAGAGAGAGAGAGAGAGAGAGAGAGAGAGAGAGATGACTTTCGAGTGCAATGAGTTGGTAATACAGTAAACAAGCTGATTCATGCTCTTACCTTTGGAAGTTATCTTTAGTGAACCATAATAACTGGTTAATACGCAATTAAATCTATTTTTTCACACATTCATGAATAGCAAACATCTGCATGGATATAAGACAGAGAGCAGTGCTCCTCTTACCGCCAGCGATGATCAAAGCCAAAATTACGAGCTTCATGGTAACTGTGTAGTCACTAGTGGCAGTTCACAGCCTTTATACTAGATACACCCACTATGTTGCACCAAATGCCCCTACACTGTCTCTTAGGCCCACCTAAGAGGGCATGGTTTAATCATGTAGATAAAAGCCCCAAAATAATCATATTATCTCAAGACTAGTAAACTTGCCCTGTGAATTTTACAGGTGACATCCTGTAGTCTGTTCTGACGTGGATGACCATGCAGAATAATTTAGCACAAAATGTTTTTGATGATCTTAGGTGCTTTGAGGCAACAAATAAAGTGTTCTTTGGGTATTGTAGTTATTACATAAAAACATTTTGTTTTTATTACATAACCATTATTATTACATAACCATTTAGATTATATACGTCTAATCACTTTAAATATGTGTTTCAAAGCAAGAGGTTTTTGTGAATAAGGAATTATTGTCTGTGGTAGCTGACTGAATGATATAGATCAGGCCCATCCGATATATCGATTGTAGTGATGCTCTGTTCACGAACAGGTCGACTCTGTGAGCAAGTTCTATTGGGCGAATGTTGATGGTAACAGCATGATGTATTTTTATATACCATAGTTTTTGGGTTAGGCCCACCTTGTCCTGTAATACAATCTGCATGATATGAGTTCTCTTGCTGTGCTGCTGCACCAGCTTCCATCAGCAAATAGAAAAAGCATTCATCTTCCTAAATACATGATGCTTTTTGATCACTGTTACAAACTTATAGTAATGAATGAGAAGGTTTTAATAAAGTTGAAAGAAGTCAATACCTGCTCTGTAAGATTGGCCCAGGGCCTCTAGAGCCTTAAGGGCCAAACTGGTGTGGTTAAACAGGGAGCTGAGTGACAAAAAAAATAAATAATTTGAACAGTGGAACAATTAAATATTGTTACATGACAAGTATATCAAACAGCACAAATACACCCTGTTATCATTCTCTGCAAGGTGACAATTGTGGTGTACCAGTTGACATTTCTACATAAGACAGATAAGTACCCAGATACTTACTTATGCACCATTTCTGCTAAAATCAGTGGAGATATAGAGAGTTTGTGGTGACACTTTATTTTGAGTGTTCCTGAAACAAAAAACTCAACAACTCTTAGTAACATCTCAAAAACATATGAGGGTTAGAATTAGGTTCTGGGTTAAGGTTAAGGTTAAGGTTAGAGTTAGGATTAGGGCCAGCGTGAGGGTTAGGTTTCGGGTAAGGTTGGGTGAAGTTAGGTTATGCGTAATGGAAGTAACACATTAACAATACATTTACTTAATGTAAGTAATGTATCAACAGAACATCTACAAGATATTTACTTCAATGTAATCAGATGCTTCACTATGGCTACTTCACTGACACGTTGTTGATGTGTTTCTGATACTCTGTTAAGAGTTTATTAATCATCTACAAAGGGCGCCTCCAAAGTTTGTCCTTTCCAATACATTTTCCAATTCAGCATATAAATGGGAATCGTCTGTTAGAATGACCAGATGTGTGTAGAGGATGAGTACTTGGTTTTTTAATATTTTTTATTTTTTTAGAAAAATCAAAGGGATGCCTAAACGTTTGCATATACCTGTGGGTCTGGATCACAAAGCAAAGGAGCTTTATACCCCTCTAGGTACTGGCCATGGTGACCTTAAGTTCAGGGGCAGCTGTTGCAGAACATCCCACTCTATTAGCAATAGATTATTTTCTAGGTGAGATTATGCAAGCTGTGTTTGTACAATTAACAATCTATGTCAGCAATGGATGCACCTTAAAGTCACTGAATTCACTAATAGTGTATCTCAATACTTTTGTACATAGTGTGTACATCTGACAAGCACATACAATACTTGACTCATCTTTAAATAAGAAAGTCAATGAGAAAATCATGAGTTGGAGAAAGTGTCCTTTATTTATACATGCAGAACACACATGTAAATTCTTCAGGGTCTTTAGCTGTATATGGCATCACAGAATGGTCCCAAATTATTACGGCTTATTAACTTTATTAAAGGAAATCAATATTATTTAGATAGCCATGAGCCAATTAGGGAAAAGGAGAAAAAGGAAAAGTACTTTGCATAATCTCTTTTATTGATCATACATTTATTCTTTGTACAGTAGGCATCCCTTTTAGTTTGAGGCGATTACCTGGAAAAAAAGAAGAAAAGCAGTTACTCTCTAAACTTGTACTGTGAGAAGCAGTAAAGCACTGTGTATAAGTGCCAACACACATCTAACTGTCACTATAGCAGTATAAACATATGCATAAACAGGAAAGGCGTGAGTGCACCCACATTGTTGATCCAGTCAATGTAGGAGGCGACGCGGGTGAAGACGGAGGGCTTCTTGGGGTAGTTGCAGCCCAGACTGGAGCCAAAGCTTACCACACCCTGAACGTCCCAGATGCCATCAGACCTCTGGCAGTTCAGAGGACCACCAGAGTCACCCTGGACAAGACGTTACAGCACAAGTCAGAAAATAACATTACGAACAGCATTTGGCTTGCAAAGAGCTGATGCATAGAAGAAAGATTAGCCTTATGTTTTGCAATTGAATGTAACAATTTAAAAAGCGTAAATACTAACTATAGTTGACAAATGTGTGATGATGAATACTGTTTGCACTATGCCAATGGGATCATTGCACAATATTGTGTAGTTTAACATCTGGTATAAGCAGTGTGTGCATAACCACACCTGCCAGTGTCTCAGATGTTACTACACAATGACTTTCTACACAAGATTTTTGCAGGAACTGCCAAAGATCATGATCAGCTATGTGTATCACATCATTCAGACATCTTCATCAGCACGGATGAAAAGAGAGAATGGCTTCAAAATGTACATGAGGAGTTAAAGAAGGTAAGTTAAATCAATTACGTGTTGCTGTTAGTTATGTGATGTCCAAAGGAGTCAACATTAAAAGTTGCCAAATTTTTGTAGTGTTTTTTTAGGTGTCTTCATGCATACACTGCTTAAGCTGAAAGTTAAACTGTGCCATCTTGTGCAGTTCCATTGCTTGTTAGCTACATTAGCCTTGTGGCTCTAGTACAAAACTAAAGAAGCAAACGTTAGACAAAAAAACATGTCTTGGCTGTTCCACCACACAAATTTAAATTTCTGCTAAATAATTGCTTTACCAAATAGGCATCAGTCAGGTTACACAAAAAGAAATAGCAAGAGAGAAGACTTACATTGCAGCTGGCCAGCAGGCCATCTCCTCCAGCGCACACCATTTTCTCAGTGACCAGATCTCCCCACCAGTCAGGCTGACTGCAGGTAGCATAATCAACAACAGGGAGCAGAGCCTGCTGCAAAATATCAGCAATAGGACCTCCGGCTAAAGAGAGAGAGTGAACAGGGAAAAAACACATTTAACACAGCTACTATATGTAAAATAAGTTGAAAAGCCTTTTTTGTTTTAATATTTCCAACTTGATTTCACTTTTTATAAGGTAGTCTAAGAAAAAAACTGAAAAACGTATTTTTTGTATGACTGTAATTATAGTACTTGTTCTCGAGCTACTCACTCCAGAGGCGGCCCCAGCCGGTGACGTAGCAGGGGAAACCATTGGGCAGGACATCTCCAGCTGGAGGCAGACAGGCAGCCTGGATGGTGTCAGAAAACTGCACAGCAGTCTGCAGCTTGATCAAGGCAATGTCGTTGCTGAAATCCGCACACAAATCCACACATGCATAAACAAGGGTAGAGAGATAAGAATGATGCTTTAATATGATATGTTAAAATAAAGTCATGTTTGAATGATGTAGGGGTTACTGTTAATCTTCAAGTACATTCTCAGTGGTGTTTATCTGTGGTTTACTGAAAGTAAGTTTAAGCTAAATTAAGTTCAGTGGAAAGAGACTGCAGCACTAACCGGATTCTGTAGGAGTCCCACTGCTCATGGACAATGATCTTGGCAGGAGCAATGGCAATGGAGCCCTTCTCATTGGCAGTGTCCAGACTGTGCTTCCCCAGGTACACTCTGTAGGTACGACTGCTGCTGGGCCAAAAGCATGAAATATGACTCAGTAAGTCTGTTATCACACTTTGTATGATATTTATCAAATAAAGTTCAGTATTAAATTTTGTAAAAGTACGGGTGGGCACCTGCTTCAACTCCTCACTCTCTATAGACAACTTATTACTTTCATAGTAGATAATTAATTTATAGAAGTTACCAATGAGCTTTAGGATTAGTAACTGAACAATAACCATACAGAGAGAAAATCCTGATGCTTCTTTTTTCATAAAAGAACATGAATTACATAATCCATTTGTATGGAACGATGTGAAGCATATATGGTGCATATGTGAGTCAGTAGGTTTTACCATGGAAATGACAGTAGGACAAATAGGTTTCCTACCCGATGCAGTGAGCAGCAGTGAGCACCCACTGGTTAGAGATGAGGGTGCCTCCACAGGTGTGGTAGTAGCTGTTCCCACTCAGGTACTGCAGAGAGGCCTACAGTATGTCGATGCAAATGGGGAACAGTTACTGTATCATAGAACTGATTAAGTAGAATTGAATAAGTAATGCATTAAATTCCCTTGATTAAAATCTGTGCATCATTTGCACATTAATAAAATATATGACATTAACACAATTCTGTCTTTTGTTTTACTTACTTTGGAATCAATAAGACATACAAGGACTGAGGTCTCAATTTCATTTAAAAATATAATATTTTAGTGTTGCATTTTTAGTAATAACACTTTGAAAATACAAAGACTAGATACAACAAGTCAGAAGGAGACTGTTACGACTGTTTTTTGGTAGGAAAAATGTAGGACATAGGCCTTTCAAACAGTCAATAACAAATCTGAATGCATGTAAAGCTTAAAATAATGAAATGCTGATATCACAGTACCTGCCAGGGCCAGCTGTTAGCTCTGACATCATCACCTCCAACCACCCTGTTCACCACTGGGGGGTAGGTGGGGCGCCCACATCCATAGGCTGTTTAAGGAGCACACACATACAAATATGTATACATAAAAAAGAGAGAAATGCTAAACAAACCAATAAATGCTCTTAACTTTAAAAAGGTGTCTGTGCTAAA